GGGATGATAATTCGTCTTGATTTGAATCAGAGAAGATTTCATGTACATTTGGAACAGGAGTGGGGTTTTCTATGTTGTGGCAAGGTGCTCTTTCACTTTGAGTTGGACTTGAAGTTTGACTTTCATTAGTTGTGCAAGAAACTTGTGTTTCTGAAGTTGGACAAGAACTGGTTCGTTCTATGATTGTACCGGAACTGATTTGTTCTAGAGGTGATTGTTTGTCAACGCAAGAAGCGTTATTTGGAGCGAGCATTTCCGTAAGGATACCTCTAATGCTTTTTTGGACATCTTCAAACTTCAGTAGGAAGTTCTGAGAATAAGTGTGATGAGTTCGTAGTGTAAAGAACTTCTCCATATCGGAGTCAGCATCGTATAGATTACGTATCAAAAGTTGAGAACATTGTTCAACCTTGTCATACATGTCTACTATGGCTTTACGAAAGTTTTGAATATAAGTGATGAGCTCACCTCTGTTTTCCGAAAAACGGAAAGCAGGAGCGAATTTAGTAACAGTCTCAAGCGCGCGTTGACCTAGCTTTCACGCTTCCTTAATATTTTTCAAAAACGGTTCTACAACCGAAAAGCAGAGTTTTTAGCTAAGAGCATTTTGACGACTATCTACAAGGTTAGCAAATTTGAAAAGGATGAAGGAATGCGTGGAAAGAGGGTTGAGCATTTTGAGATCTGTCATTGCAAGGTGTTAATTGATTGTTACAACACTGTATCGTTGAAAGATTCAATGAATATTATTGAGATGAATGCGATAGTGATCTTTAATTGAATGTTTCAGAGAAATGGTGTAAATTATAAAATTCTTTTGAAATGCATGTTATGATGTTGTGAAAAAAAAAGAAAACAATTATGAAATTGTGACGAACAATGTTTTTAAGATATTGTTGGTGGTATTCGATATTGCACGAGGACAACGATTTAACGACATATGTATGATTCCCACTAAGTATCTTCACATGGTGATCGTATACGAATAGATAAAATTTTAGTCCACGTTGACTAATCAGCCATTCTGAATATTCTGAAAAAAAAATATATGGGGAGGATTCCAAATTCTCTGAGGCATCCAAATTCTTGGCCAATACACAATGACAAAGCTTATACGGGCGCTTTGCTCTAGCCCTTACAACTCCCTATGCATCAACACTCGTACTTCATACGGTGAAGATATTTACGTGGTTCTAAGGTTACAATAAGAATCTGCCAGTCCATTATACACCGACATCGACAGACGAAAAGACTACAAGACTACAAGACTACGCGGTGAAAGGTTTATTATAATGGGATTAAAATTAACAATTTTGAACAATTAAAAACAAGAGAGAGAATTCACAGGATTACCAGCATCTAGCAACGAGTCATACATCTATCCGAACCAAATCCTAATCCTTTGGCTCCGCTCATCACTGATGCGCTGAGGCGACATTCCCGGAAGCCGAATCATTCGGATATTGAACCTCACACAGTATGTTTGGTTGCTTGTCAGGCAACCCTCTAAGCTGGCAGAATTGGCAGTTTTAAGGTTTCCTGTACGTTCCTTTTGTCATATGGACTGCGAAACAGAGCCGACACTGGTTCAGATCATCTAGTCGCATTTTTCTTTGTTCATGATCGCCATATTTCAGGCAGTTTGAGCTGAAATGGCCAACCTTCAGGCATAACAAGCAGCGAGCTTTGCTTTGAGTGATGAGCTTCTTGGGTCTAACTGGTTCCGGTTCCTTAGCTTCAAATACCGTAGATCTCACAGGTGTTGTTCTTGCGGACTATGTTCCTTCTCGTCTTCTCTCTCTTTTGGTAGCTACTCTTGTTACAGATTCTTCTCTCTCCTTCCTCAGGATCTGTTCAAATTGCTCGGCTTTCCGTCTCTCCATGATGATGTCCTCAACGTTTTGGGATATATGAGACATGTTTCCCATTCTAAATTCAGTTTTATCAGTGTTCATGTTTTTTATATTCTATTTAGAGTTTTTAATTTCAGATTGAAGGTTTAAGTGGGTCAAAATCCACAAATTCATTACACATCTCAAGCTAAAAGAACTTCCGGATATTGATTTCATTCTCTCTATCTACAAATCCATTTACCTTTTCACAATCCTCACCATTTTGATTTCATTTCTTTTCATCAGTACACTCTTCAGTATAATCAAACGATTAGTTTCGATTCATTCTATTCCTAGCTTCGCACACTTACCGTTTTTTGCAATCTCCATTCTCAGTCTTCATGGGAAAGCTCTCTTATTTCTTTTTGCTGTTTAACTGAGTGCTGCACATGGCATCCTCAGTTAACAATCCTCACCATTTTGATAGTTTCAAGGCGCTCATGTCAACTTTGTAACTGCTAACTTCAAACTTTACTGTAAACTAAAATAGACAAAACTAAATAGAAAATTTTTTGAACATATCAAAAATAGAAACGTCTTTCACATGAACAACATGTCTGACCTGGAATCTTGGAAGAGGAAGAAAGGAGAGCGCGCAAGGAAAAAAGATCCGATAGAAGAACACCTACGAATCTTTGGTTTTCAAAATGAAGAAAGACAGAGAGACTTACCGTCCTAAACGAACCATTACGCCAAAAATGCAAAATGTATGTTCTATCTTCAGAAAGGACATTTCAGCAACACATGTGCAGACTACATCGATTATGAAGAAAGAAAAACACGCCTAGACGACCTATATCAGTGTAAGGCCTGTTTGGCTATACACCGCATGCACGACAATTGTCGAGAACCAGAGTCATGCCACTTCTGCAACTCTCGGGGAATGCCGGCCAAGCATCCCGCCATACTCTGTCTAAAACAATACCCAGATGGTGAAGGCTGCCGGACTCTCGCTGCGACACAGTGAAAGGAGGCCGAGCTTCAGACCGTGGACCGTTTTTGGATGAAATCGATCATTCTTCTAGACCGACATCGCTCGTCAATTGGAAAAGTGCAGCTATCGGTACACAGGACAGTTTGACAAACGCCATCAAACACGGGACCTGTCAGTCAAATCAAACGACAAGTACTCGTCTGGATTCGGAATCCGAAAAATAAATTGGCACCTAAATATGAGAGACCGTTCGTCGTAGTGGAAGTGGAAGACAACTACGTAGCAGTACACAACAACAAAGCACAGCTCAAGAAATTTTGCAAAAATAGAATAAAAGTCTTGGAGACAACGGATTGAAACTATATATACTAACTGTACATATTTTTTGCGAAAAATTCCCTATACATATTCATTTTATTCTTATTCACTCTCATACTTTGGTTATCATCTATTTCTTATGCTCTTACAATATTTTCTTATTCACAATGCATTGTACCGCGAACTCCATACTATTTTACTTGCTCACATTACATTTGTAAAAGTTAATTTATCCCAACACCCCTCTCCGTCGTAAAACTTTAAAAATTCTAGTTGTTTTACTTATCTGTTTCACAAATCTTTCTTATTTCTACTGACAAAGTTATTACACTAGTTCGCGCCTCCATCTATCTTACACTATGCTCAACCCAATCGCATTCTCTCATATCACAGTGATATACCTAACTAAAGGTCTAAGTTCTGTCTTCTTCATACGGACCTTAGGATATCACCAAGACGTGATTATTTCTCGAGGGTGTAACGTGTAGTATGGGATCAGAGAGCGAAGCTCTCTTAGAAAACATTGCGAAACAAAGTTGCACTAATAACATGTCAGTCTAGAAAACCCTTGATCAATCACAGATATATAAAGCATCAACATAAACAAGAGACGGTGAGTTCGAGAGTTGGAGATGAGATAGCTTATCTTATTCTGTATATACTTTTCTCATATTGTGTTAACTATATTATGTTTATGTTATAACTCCAAAACCGTCTAGAAGCTCGTTTCCCGTATCATTGTCATCATAATAGTTTCTCTTAATAAATGCTTAGTAGAAGTTGTTCTTTTGATTCTCATGAAACTCCTTTACTATTATTAAAGCCAACCATGGAATCATTAAGAATTTGAATAATAGTACGATGTTTCTGGATAGATCCATTTCATTCTGTAGCTGAATGAACTCTAGGAACATGCACAGATGGTAAAACTTATGTTCCGCCGAGATTTGAACTCGGGTCGTTCCTGTTCCGGAATTCGTTCCAAAAGTTCTGGAAATTTTCTGGGAATGTCTGTATATTCACTAGGACATGAAAATATTCGAGAACGTGCTGGAACCTTAATGAACGCCGTACTCCCCCTTTTTGCAGTTCCGATCACTATTCAGTTACCTGTTTTTTCCACTTTTTTGAATATTCATTTACAAGTATAAAATTTATAAGTAAAACCGCTCTTGATCCTATCAGATTCTCTCCCTCATGTTTTGACTTTAAACGTGCAGACTTTTCACAAATTTGCAATCATTTAAGTCTTCTCGATTTTACTCATCATCCCTCGTTTCGTACTTCTCCCTCTATTCCAAGAAATAGATGTTTAAAAATTACTTTGCAAATTACCTGCTTGTAATTCAACCTCTCCGAACGGCATACCGTACATCTTCCTTAAGCATTGTGCACCTGTTCTTTCTCGCGTTCTTCCAATTTATTGTTTCTGGCGGGGAGTGTCCCGCAAGTTGGAAGACTGCAATCACTAAGCCTCTTCATAAGGAAAGCCCCGCCAACTGCGTTAATAACTATAGGTCCATCTCTCTCACTTCTAGCATTTCTAAGGTGTTTGAACGTTCACTGGGGCCTAAGGCCAACACCACGGAACCACGTATAGAATGTTCTGGCCATGTGCAATATCCGGTCTACCTTTGCACGGCTGAGGAACAACGGAACTGATAAGCAGAAGAAATTCGACTATGTTCGGTGAACGCAGCATCGCAGAGCATTGACTATTTTAAGCCAACTTTTGTATATTTGAAAACAAAATTTATGAGTCAAGTTTACATTGTTTTTCCACGTTTTTCGTTTTATATGCCTGTTGCCTAACATATCTAATTGTTAATATTTACTCCAAGTATTATCTAATCCAATTAAGCATGCACAAATAGATCTTCTGTTTCATCAAGAGCTGTCATTTGAGTGTCTGTGGTCAGCTTAGATGGCAGGTCTATAGCTGTTTTCACTAAAACTCGAGGCACACGAAGTCTTTGTTCGGCTTGTTTCTAAACTCTAGGATACATTTTGAGACCAAAATAAAGTCATACCCGACGTTCACGGAATCTTCGTGTTTTGCGAACTAAAACGTATGCTATTGATTCAAAGAATACTTCCACAAATTCACAAATTGTAATAGCAGAAAAACCAATGTATAAGCCTATGTTACCACCAAAGTCAGAAAAAAGATTAGGCAACTGTAATTGAGAATTGTTTCTGCGACTTATGAACTAAATGTTTCCAAACAACGGTAAGAACATGAATTGTTGTCAGATGATTCAACGTTTTAGGCTTTTTCCTTATAGTACACATCTAAGTTGAGTAAAACCTTACCGTATATCCTGCAGTTTCTTTCAATGTTTCGAAGTTGAGCTGTTCGTAGTATATTTCAATGTACGCTGTGTTGATCCTATAATACTCAGAGCACGCCAAGGAATCGTTATAAATATCCACAACTGCGGGACATTCATCTCCTGTAAATATTTTCGAATTACCATTGCCAACCTTGGTTTCTAATTACCTAGTTTGAAATTTGTACTTGGCCAAGCAGCAGCAGAATATGCTGTTTCAAAAACATTCTCTGTACAAGGTTGCCTACAATTGCATTCCATTTGTAAATGATGATACCCTCCAGTTGATGAAGTAAGATTGGCTAAGCATGATCCTCAATATTAAAATGTTATTAATCTGACTTAAGAGTCGAACAAACTGTCTTGCACACTTTTGGCGCTACAATAGCGATAATCGTCTCCAGGTAAAGGGAATCTTGGGTCTCCACACTTGCAAGTTTCCAATACTTTCAATTGGAAGCAATTCCGATGACAACCCTGAAAAGTTTTGGAAGATTCGTGTATGTTTAAGGATCATTTACGCTTGCTTGCTTTAATTTTTATGAATTACCTCAGGCGAATAATGTTCATCGTAAATATAGGGATCAGGTCTAAAACTATCACTGCAATGCCCATATGGCGCATCTAATCTATGTAAAACTTTCTAAATAAACTAGATCTGATTTCTTATAGCTCGTTGTAATACCGTTTTTAATCCAAATGATGAGACGAAACCTGTAGGTGCTGAATATCCGAAGGTATCAGGAAAAGGCTCTTGATCCTAAAAATCATATGTTGTAAGAAGTTCAATATAAATCAAACTAACTTGTTCATGAACAACGAGTCGTACTCCTGCAGCTTCAGTTGTGGGCAAGTAGTCGTCCTGATGAACATTCAAAAGCAACCGTAATCCTGAAAGTGTTCGGGGTGCGCTGCTTTTTGTAAACTAGTGTTCCTACCATACATTGGACCGGCTCTAGAGTTTTTCAATTCGACAGAGTCATTGAAATTAAATGTGTAGCAGTTACCGTATTCAGGATCTATATGTAGTTTGAAATCTCTGAAAATTTTTAAACATTTGGAAGAATTCAAAACTCGTCCCACCTCTCCATATTACAATCTTTGCTATTGAAAGAACATCGTAAAACAAATTCTGAAAGAGTGTATGATAAGTTCCTCCGAGTTTCGCGCGGTAGAGCGGCAACCAAAAAAATTAAATTTTCTTTAGTCTGTGTTGTAATTGCTCCTCGATCCTTGAGATCCTGAGAAAGTTACGAGTGAACTCAATTCTACTTATTATCTTTTTATTCACCGCAAGACCGTAAGCATCCTCCATCTCAACAGGAGGTTCAGTTGGAGGCTCTGTCATCGAATAAACAGTGTAATTGTTCGGGTTCCACCATTTTATTTCATCCTGATGAATATGTAAGCAATGCGAGTACATAAATTCCGAACCTTTGGATGAACCATACAATGATGGGATATGCTTTGGCATAAACAAGTATGAGCTTCTTCACCTATTGGCTGAGTGGCATTCGGTCTATCAGGATCACTACATGTATTTGAAATCGAACATTGATAGCATTGCTAAAATAATATAGCAAAAGATGCCACAAACGCGTGAAACGTCACTCAAGAATAGATAAAACTTACTTTCACGGTCCAAGCAGCCGTAGGATAACAGGGCCATATCGAGCCATGTGTTATATCCTCGAAGCACATACAAACAGATGCGTTTACCTGAGCAAAAAGTGTAGAATTTTATATTATAAATGAATCTTCTCACTTCCAATGGGTTACGATTTGGTACACATTGCTCCGTACTTATGCAGGTACAACGAACAAACACTGGCTGATAAACAGCTCCTTGAAGATCGTACTCACTTATTGGAAACTTTAGTTCTCGCTTGCTGAACGTAAAGATTAAAAGTTATGCTAATTTCCTAATTAGGTTACCCAATTTCTTTCCTGATAGGATCTTCTCTTAATGCTTCATTCATTTCCCGAGCGTTTATCACTCGTTCCCAGATCTCAAACTGAAAGACAATGAGAGTTGAAAATAAATGTTTTTGATGACTTACTCCTTCCCGTATTTCTTTGTATTGAATAAGTTCACTATATTTGAAGGCGTTCAAATTGCAAACTGTAGCAGCCGGAAAAGGGGCTAAAATAAGTTATTTAAAGTTGTATGATGAATTAAAGCTTAAACCTGCTTCAAACTTAAGTTGCATTTCAATAATAGTACGATATTGTAAATATTCAGACATTGTCCAATATGTTTGAACTATAAAACAAACGGCTGAGAATGTGAAAAGTATACTCCATATATATCTTCCGAAAAATGAACGAGAACTGAATGCGATTAGTTAGATGTATAAAATATTCCAATGCTAACCATATGTGTGGAACGCCGTGTGAGCTTGTTCGAGACCCGAAAGCTTCACATAAGTTTGTATATGAACGAAACCTATCGTCCTCAGTACTACAGTAAAAACCCGTTTTCTTTATTCGACGAAATAATCCGGGTGTTCGTAGAGACTATAACTTATATAAATATTCTTAATCATTGTCATCTCAATAGAAACCTTGGAATTATCTTCTTCATCATCCGCATCTTCATCAGAATATGCTTCTTTTGATGGCCGTTTCTGCATTTCTCTATGCTCATTCAGTGCTTCATGACGTTTCTAAAACAAGAGTCATTAAATCGTCATTGGTTAGAAGAATAGCACTAACAGCCCAAACTTTTTGCTGGCAGTTAAAAATTCAAATAGTAATTGACTATACACATGCAAATCATTAAATATCTTACCCAGCTCATATTTTGTACTATATATCCACTAATGAAAGACAATCTACCACAATTTTTTTAAAACAAAAAGCCAATCTATGATAAGAAAGGTTTACAAGTCATTGCAAAGCAGAACAATAGCAACGGTTTCTGAAATACGAGATTGAGTTTCCAACGACGTCACAGAAGGTAACAGTGAGGATGAATGAAATGAAAAAAATAGAAACATAATGTAAAAAGAATGATAGGTGGCAGGGAGGATGAATGAGGTGGGAAAAATTAAAAAGCTTCACAAGTAAATCAGAACAAAAGCCTTGAAGCTTGAAGTCTGAGAGCTTTGGATGTGACCAACAGAGGGAAACTGAAAGGCAGATATCTCAATCCCAAATCTCTGTTGATCAATCGCAGTATTTTTACTAAACACCGGATACAGCAAGCTCAAATGGTTTACAACAAAGATTTTCAGAAGGGAAGAAGTAGTAGCAAGTTTAATAGGAGGGAAGTAACGAAAAAGACTGAAAAGAAAATAAAAAGAAGAGAAAAAAATGAAAGGATTGCTAAGGCTATTCTAGTGCATAATATCTGAGATAAAGCAGTATGCAGTGGCTCTCTCTCTCACTCTCTCTCACTCTCTGAATTGGAACAAATGAAGTCAAGAAGCGTCATCACAAAATCATTTTATTTTTATTTTTTTTCCTTTTTTTTTATTTCGTGAGTCAGCGATGCGTACATATCTTGAATCTTCATTCCATATAAGTATGATACATTTGTAGCAAAGCTTCTTTTAGTCACTTTTACTTCCAATCAATTTTGTCAACTCTGGACATGAAGCCTATTTCTATTGGCCTTGTCTTAATCTCAAGAGAATATGAGAGACGACACACATCTACTTCTGAAATTCTAAAAGATAGCCGGCCCAAAGCAAATGTTAACTTTCACTATGCTTTGGACATTCAACAAGGGTTAAATAGTAATGATTACGTAAAAAAATTTTCTAACTGAAAATGAAAAGTCATCTGCTTAACGCAATCTGCAGAAGTGCAGCAGAGATGAGTTTTCCATAATCTCATGCAATTCAATAAGTTTAATCGAATTTTAAAGCTCACCAAATCACCACAAATTTCTAAGAAATATCATTCCTCTATACGATATACATATACATATTTATCCAAATTTGGACATAACATTGACTTTTTAAACATTTTTCGGTGAAGTCCACTCAAACGCGCTAAATGGGATTAAACGAGTTACCGCACAGTTGACATCTGATTCTCATGCCGAGTTAACCGTTCTCAATCAGGATGCAAGCTCAATATGTACGCATATACTTATAAGTAGCACAAACATCTTATAAACTGACTTACCATTAAATTCAGCTATTTCAATGAGAAAGCTTTCTCTTGTGAAGCTTGTTATTAAACTGACTTGTGTTGCTTATTGTTCTCCGTCCTCTATTGCCACCCCGCAGTGAAGCCTGAGGAACCATTTGCACCTGTAATGCTTTCAAAGTCCCTTACTTACCTTACAATACTCTTTCATCATCGGAGCAGAAAACGTTTCTTTAATTCGAACTTGGTGCTTTTTTTCATTTGATTCTATCTCACATTAGATTCGTTCAAGGACCAAATCATCTCTGATAGCTAGAACTTGTGATGTGAACAAGGTGACAAAGAAAATTTTATTCATACAAAAAAACAAAAAATAATATGAATAAACCCGTAAGGATAAAACATAAAATGACAACTTTCAACTTTGAATATTAACTTTTTCGAATTCTTCGTCTAAAAGTAAAGGTTGAGACGTCAACTGGATATTCAAGGAAGAAGTTGATCGACCGTTAACTGTGCCTTTCAAGCTTTCTTTACAATTGTTGTTATTATTCTCAATTAAAGTGAGATTATTAGCCGATCGATCGTTATTCGGATTCCTTTTCGTTGAAAAACCGATTGTTGAGATGCCATCCTCGAAGAAGTTTGAAGTTAGAGATCTAAGAACTTCTGTATTCCAGGCAGGATCAGAATTGGTCAAAGCTGTATCAAAGCAAAGTTCTCTTTCTGAGATTGAGCTTCGAATAGATTTACTCTTGTTGATGGGAGAGAACGGTCTGTCAACGTTATCCAGCTTAATATACGTTTCTGATGAGTTCTCCTCCTGCTTCATTTCTTCTAGAACTGCTGGCTGGCAATGTGATGGCGAGTTGCTACGCAGTTTTGAAGAATGAGAATCTTGATTATCGTGAGATTGCCCTGCAGCTATCAAATTAATTACACGATAATTGCCATTTTTGCGTTCAACAATCAAGCGGATCGAAGGCCGATTGAAGGAAAAGATTGAATTGATAAACTGATGGATTGTCTGACATCTCCATTGGAATTGCTGTAAAGACGGCTTGAATTTGCTGCAAAGAAATGGAAACATGAAATGTAAGAAGCTTCTTCAACAACTTTAGAAGATTATTTAAGCATGTTGGAACACCAAAGATAGCGAATATGATTGAAAAACCCGTGTAGAAGATACACACTGTAGATCTGAAGAGAAGATCTCATCATTAGCATCAATGACATCAATGAACACTCACGTTAAAATAAAAATATTTTGATAGACTGTGGTCTGACTGCATATACAATCCATTTCTGAAATAGGAATATAGATAGATTAATCACTATGCATCTTCTATCATTGAAACGGAATTTGAAAACAAACAAAAAACTGAAAACAACACTTTGAAACATGTTCTTGAAGAGAATAAGAGAAATTCGTTTGGAATCAATAAATGAATTCTGAACAATTCTATAAGTGCGTTCATCTTATGTACCATCTGGGAGATTTAACCTGACCGAACGACTGACGGACAGACCGACAGGCTGTGAAGAAACAACAGCTGACCCGATGGGTTATTGGGAGGGGGAATGAAGTGATTGTCATTCCTTATAGAAGAGAAATTATGAGAAACAAGAGTGAAGAGATATATTAATTGAAACAGATACAAAGCGGATAGGAGAAGGAGAGACATACTGAGATACAGAGTAAGAGGGAGAAAGAGAGAGGGAGAGAGAGAGAAAGAGTAAGACGAATGTAAAAAGAGAGAACTCATTTTGTACGGAAGAACATCATTTTTACATTGTATAATTTGTATAATTAGCGAAAGAGACAAAGCCATCGAACATTTCCTTTATTTAAACGGATGAATTATATAAGAAAAGTTTTTATTCAATTAAGAAAAATACAATATACATGCACAAATATAGATCTCTATCTTGTTCTAGCACATAGTTAATGAGATGTATCATCAACAACAACAAAAAATATATTTCCACCGGAGTTTCGTTTCCCGTTAAGGATATGTCATTGTTCTTATTCGTTAAATAACTTTCTGTTGTTCAATCTGAGTACAGACAGCTAAATATGGGAAGTTTTCTTTCATTCGTAAATCGATGTGATGCTGAAAAGATTATGAAAAACTATTGTAATGGTAGTTTTTGCCAAATAAACAAAACCTGAGCATCAGCGGCAATACATTCTAGCCGTCGAAGAATGGTGTCGGGATCAGGACGAGCAGATGGCTCGTGTGAAGTGCATGAATAGATTAAATCCATTCTAGAATAATGAATATGGATTAATGACAGCTATATGTTTATAGCTCACATAGCCGTTCCACAATATTGAACTTCGGCTAGTTTCGCTGTCTCATCACGTAGACTGTCTATGATTTCACGAGATGTTCTGACATTCGCATATGGTGTTGCTCCTAAATAGAGATTTTTCAACTGAATGTTAGCTGTCTACTGGTGATACCTAATGAAATGATTTCCCAGAGTAGAACTCCTAACGACCATATTTGGCTCTCTTTTGCCGGTTTTCTATCACTTCTGAAGTGTTCGGGAGACATCCATCGTAAAGGATTCGGTCTCTAAAGAAGAAGCAACAATAATAAGAAGGCTTTTATTAAGCTTTTACAGCTTCATGTTCTCTGCATAGAACAGCTGTTTCAGCCAGTCCAAAGCCAGAAATCTTCACTTGACCTCTCTCGGCCACTAGAACATTAGCTGTAGCCAAATGATTGTGGAAGATGTTTCGTTTCAACAAATGGTCAACTCCTGTCACGCAGCCTGAATTTCACAAAATACGTAGGTTGTGATGTGAAATTTATATTCTCACCTATCATAATGGACAGTAAGCGTTCAGGGGAGAGAAAGGAGGCTGCTTTGTATGGTGAACTTCCGAAACGGGAACAACGGCTTTCACGAAGAACTCCTTGCAGGGTAGGATGAGATATTGGCTCCCAGAGAAGAGTCAATGCTGCAAGCTGATTAATTTTTGTACTGTTTGCAACTTATTACCATTTCTGTCAAGATGAGCGGCTTTCAACGATAAAACATTAGGATGAATGCCAACGACGACAGTTTCTTTCAATGCAGAAGCTAATGCTCGGAAATCAGTAGGAGTCAACTCCATAGGATCTGGAAACAATATCAGAACAATCAACGATATGCTTCAAGTATACTTCTTATGGTGTAAACAGCAACATCCAATACGGAACCATTGAAAGAATTGAAAAGAGCTCTGTTCCAAACACCAAAACGTCCATTTCCTAAGAGAAGAATTTGAAAAACGTACAAAGCAGAACTGAAGCGCAAGCTATTCATCCAGAAAAGTTTCGAAAGAAGTAAGATTTCATTTACGTATAGTTGTATACTTTAACTATATACTATGTTGTATAAACTTAAAGTCTCTCGTTAATTATGAGAGCTTACATTATGTTAATTGAGTATTGATAAAGCTATTACCTATAGTTGAACCCATTTCAAGCTTAGCCGGGTTCAATGATTCAGATCTTATAAGAATATCTCTGAATATGAATATTTAACAAGAAAATTTTATAAATGAAATCATACTTGAACATTCGTTGTTCACTCTCACTCACTGGCAACACATCAGGATCAGCAGTAAGAGGCGCCTGAAACAAGCGAAAGTTCTATCAAATGTCTATATAAGTTAATCTATATTGTAATGATTAATTTGCTTTTAACATACTTGTGTGCATATCGCTTACAAACTTCAATTAGTTTCATTTTTTGTTTTTGTTTATGTGTTGTTGTTTGAAAAATCTGATTATGTTAAACCTGTGGCTCGTCAATTAAAACAATAAAAATTAAAAATTAGGAAGAATCTTCATTACTTGCAACTCCAATTTCTGATTTTACAATGAACGCCAATAGATGATTTTGATTTTGCATTCAATATAAACAATTGTAATTATTACGAGAGATTTGTATGTGTATGTGAAGAGAGAGAAAGAGAGAAAAGGGGTGATAACTTTACAAAGAGAAAAATTCATAAAGAGAGAGAGAGAGAGAGAGAGAGAGAGAGAGAGAGAGAGAGAGAGAGAGAGAAGGAGAAACAGAAGAAGATTATAAACTGCACGAGTCACAGGCTAATGAATCAGATCATTCAAATTACTCACTTTTCTTTTTCAAAATTTATAAAAAAAAAATGCTTTTTTTTATTCAAATTTGCATTGTTGTTGTTGGTGGTGGTGATGGTGATGATGGTGATGGTGATGATAGTAGCTGTGGCTATTAGATTCATTGAGGTTAACAGGTAAACGTTTATCATTCGGTAAACAACATGCCGTTGATAATATGTGTATGTAAGATGTAATAAACAACAAAGAAAAAAGATTTTTGTAGAATGAAAATAGAAAAACGAAAGTTAAGTGAATGATCATGCGCTTAATAGAACTTTCTTCTTTTTTATTTCTTTTTCCTTCAAAAATAGTCATGTTCGAACAGAAAATGCAAAAATATAAAAGAAGTGTGGGTGATCTTCTCCAAATATAACATGGACAAGCTGTAACCGTATTGGGGAAATGACCACAAACAAGTTGACATTTAAACGTTTGCAGGCAAATGGTTTGAAGAAAAGCTCACAAAGGAAGAAGCTCAACTGATTAGGAAGAATAAACATTCAGTATAGATATTCTGTAACTACGATTATATATTGAGAAAACAAAAGTTTGAGAAAATGAAGAATAAAAAGTTTCCTGAAATTGAACTTACCAAATGGATGAAGTTCAATTCATGACTAGATGAAACATTCAGACGAGAAGCTACATTAGAGCAATCAGGGTGTTCAAATGGGGAAAAAAGGTTTAAGTCGTCTATAGCAGGTCAAAGAGTTATAAGAATATATATTATGTATGTATATATGTATATAACGAGGAAAAAACAAACTATATATGGGTATGAAAACCGGGTTGGCTGAAGGTGAGAGAGAGAGAGATAGATAGAGAGAGAGAAACGCAAAGAGAGTGAAAATGATTTGACAAAAATATTGTTGAAAATTCAATAAGTTTCGGATTCTCATCCTCTATGTAGGTAATTTATGTGCTGATTTGGGTGATGGTAAACCATGCGTAGTATTCAATAGATGACGTCATTCAGACGATTCATTGACGAAGACGTTCTTTCTCAGGCACCTGACTTACCAATTCAGGGCGATTAGCATTGGTATAACGGCATCCGTTTGATGTTGTCTTTGTTTCATTCTATAAACATTGATTGTTTAGTAGTTTTGGGAAAAAAAGAAAATTAAAAGATGAAAAGAATATTCTTCTGTCCTTACCGGCTTACAGCAGCACAATCCTCGTCTGTAGCAGCAAGTACAAACAATAAGAATGACACAGGAAGCAATTGTAATTCCGAAGACCCATCGAGCCAAATGATATTGATCTTTGATAAAAGCAGAGAAGAATCCTTTTTCTTCATCGGATTCTTCTTCATCATCTTCAGCGTTCTCATCTGCTTCCTATCAAATTAAATTTGTATAGAAATTAGAAAAATCACAATTTACCTCTTTGTTCTCTCCAGTCTCGCTCTCTTCAGTTGTTTCTTCTCCTTCAGCTGTAGTTTCTTCTTCTTCATCGTCTCCTTCCTTCTTTTCTCCATCTTCGTCTTCATCTTCATTATTTTCATCATCATCTTTCTTCTCATCTTCGTCTTCATCTGCAGCTTCATCTTTTTCTTCATCATTTTCTTTGTCTTCATCGTCATCTCCATCTTTTTCAGATTCTTCAGTTGTAGCTTCTTCATCAGCATCCTTCTCTTCCTCATTCTTATCTTCATCATCGGCAACTGTGGTGGCTTCTTCATCATCACCTTCTTCGGTTGTTTTCTTGTCGTCTTCCTCAATTTCTTTTTCCAACTTCTCTTCTTCCTGAAAAACATATAGTTATTTTGTAAGTCACAGATCATGGTCAACCTTCTCGGTTTCTTCTTCACTCTTGGTATCCTTTTCATTCTTTCCATCCTCGAAGAAGTCAGTTCCGACTGAAGGGCTCTCTGAGCTGACATCTTCGTCATCATCGGCTGTCTCAACTTCTTTCTTGCCTACCACAAAAATTATTCAAGGAAAAGTTATATTGTTACTCACTTTCTGGAAGTTCTGAAGTTCCTTCCCCATAAATCTCAGGTTTCAAATCAAATTTCAAATGCTCTGACTCCAATGTCGTTGTGACGTCGCGGAATGGATCGCTGCTCTTCGTGTCAAGTTGGCGTGGACGTCTTACAGCAACCGTATAATATGCCTGAATGTTGTTTTGTATTTTGATTATTCCTTTGAAATCGCATGTGTGGTGACGGATCACGTATATGAGTTCATACGCCGTGTGCACTTCTTCATGCTTTTTGAATCACAGTCGACTTGAAACTGAATTTCTCACCTGCAGAAGCTTCGCTCCAGCAAATACGTCGCGATCAAATTGGACCTCTGGTGGTAAATCATCATCATACTGATCATAATTCTGAAATGAATCTATCATTAATCACATATTTTGTATGCAGGATATACCTCGCTGTGCTCGTAGTCATCGTCCTTAGCATGTCCTTCGGGTTGCGATGTCATTTGGATGTTAACGGATCTTTTGCATAAATGTTCATGGTGATCCGATTCCAATGTGATAACTTCTCCTTCCTCACAATCTTCTGGTGTCTATAATGAAAGGTTTCATTAAATGCAAAAAATCTCCCCTTCTAATCAAGAAGGAAAAACTGAATTTTCGTGTTCTATTCTCTACTTCTGTTTCCAATTAGTAGCCATAAATTATGAATCATTGAGAATATGAGAAGGAAATTCGATTCTTAACGAGCATACAACTCTATCAAATAATGTGCAGTTCATAGAATATTTCAGGTCTTTTGCAAGCTTTATTGGCTCGTGGAAGCTTAAAAAAGCCTCTTCTGCCTACTTATTCTACCGTATATGTCATGTTTCTGATCATGAACTTAATCAGGTAGTGTCTATGAGACAAAACAAACAAAAAACTATCCGATTACTCATTCCATCACAATAAGAACAAAGCTCAGTCTTAGAGCAACATAAGGCACAGCTGTTGTTCTCAAAATGTTTCAAAAGGACATCTTGTGTATCTTTTTAGGTTTTCATCAGATCGACCTTTTTCACGAATAAGTATAGTACTAACTAACCTTAACAACGAATTCAGAAGTTAGTGTGAGGTTGTCCAATTGCATTTCTCTCCAGTATGGTTCATGCCAGAATGCTTCGACTGTGACGATGACACTGTCTTTGTCATTAACAGCCAATGGCTTTGGTGGAGCTTGGATGGCTAAAAAAGAGAATCATTATTGCGAACGGTTGAAACTGAATCTTCAGAAGGTATTTTGCTTCTCAGATCACAACTAACCGCTCTGATAACACAAGCTGTAAAGCTTCATGGTAATGTTGGCTGGGTGAGTAGATATATGAAGTTGATTGTGACAATTAGCTGGAACTGAATGAGCACAACTGCAGAAGCCTGTAGTTTCTGTTGCTGTACGATGAGCACGTGAATCTTTCTGTCTTAGACATAAGCTTAAAAACAAGAAGCATAAATGTATAATATTGTGATGGATATGCGTACCTGTATCCATTTTCAGTACACTGTGAGCAAGAAGTGCATTGGTCAGATTTCATAGTTTCATCATTAACAAGATTCTTAACTCCATAATCAAAAGCTGTTTCTGGGCATTGAAGGTTCACACATTCACTGCTGTCAGAGTGTTGATGAACTGTGAAAGAGCTGAAATAGGAAATGTTTTTACAATTCATAATTGCATTATCTGTATCAAAGCTACATTGATCAACTTGAAATTCTTCTGCATATTTACAATCTCTCATATGCAAAATGCACGCACATTCGTGCTCAAACCTACAGGTACTTGAGCCACATTTTCTCATCTTTAGGTGGAAAAGAAATTTTGAAATATAATAACCTCATCGTATATCCAAACTACATGGCGCATTTTTAAAATTTTTACTCATTTTTCTCCAAAAAAAAAAAAGACTTTTGTGTTCAATTGGAAAACGAAATTGAAGTAGCTGGGAAGATACTAAGTCAATATCTGTCAGAGAAATTTGGTCTTCAGGTAGAGTACTCTTCCTATTATTTTTTTTTGAAAATGTGTTAAAAAGGTTTCTGCTCATATCGCACTCTCCCTCCTTCCCTCCCTCTAGACTTCTGCTTCTTTTCTTCTCGTCTCTTTTTCCATCTCTTCTTTCAAATATACTTTTTCGCAAACTGATTTCATCATTACTATCTTCTCTTTGGTCGAAAGTTTGTTCATCAGATGAAATATAGATAGAAGAAGACTAACCTGACGGCAGTGAAGCCCAGCAAGGTAAGCCCAAGCCACGAGAGCATTGGAACTGATTTGACCTGAACAAATGAAAAGTTGAAAGAAAGATAAAAAGAATAAAAGAAAAAATTGCCAATGAGCGAAAGAGAAAGCTTTTATATGTATAAATAGTAATTGAATATCTTCTAAGACGAAGGTCGATTCTTTTTCGGAAAGCTTTCAGAAAGCTATAAAAGGAAGAAAGATTTGGAACATTTTACAGAAGAAAAAGCAAGAGAAAAAAAAATTCTTTTCTCTGATCGTCACCAAAAAGAAATACGAAAAGAAGACGTCAACGATCAGTTGAGCCAAGAAACACATGGATAAAATTTTGGGCTCTATTGCATCAGAATCTGAGAACACAATGAAGGGAAAAGCCCCGAGTAATGCAAACGCCGAGGATGGGAACGAAGGAGAAGCATGATGAATCTGGTAGTCGATGAAAGAGCTAAGACGGACTTTATCAACATTTAATATTGACGAACAGTCATTTCGTATTTTAATTGAATTCTCGTACTTTGTGTGGAAATGTTGAAAAGAGATAATCTGTACTTTCTTCAGAAGTTGTAAGGATGAATAAACAAAAAGTCTCAACAAAACTGGTTTAAAATCAGCCATAGCTGATGATCGTCTGATCGCTTCATTGAGAAGACGTCGAGGTGAGTAAAGGAATGCGGTAAGACGATGAATTGTGTGGAGAAAAAAATAAATCGAGTGAGAAGTTGGCTACAGAATGCAAATCACTTCTTATAAATAAATATGGGAATAGAAGATACGTCGTCTGATACGCTCTGTAAACTACCAGTTGCAGATGTTGCAAGTACTGGTTAATCTTCCGAACAAACAGTACGCTTATTGCGAACCAGCCGTCCGTACAATTAACGGAAATGAAAGCCAAATAAGGAAACCGTAGAAAATAATACAGCTCACAACAGAAAGTGGATAAAATTGAAAAAAAAAGAAGGAGAAATAATTTGTAAAAAAGCAGATGAGAATACAACGCATCACATGGTCTGCTAATAGTAAGAATAGATTGGCTTGTATGACTGCGTGAAGACATGCACTGAATAGAATCATGGATTTTACTTTTTCTTTCATCAAAATTTATTTCTAGCAACTATTTGAGATTTTTTTTGTTTTGTCATGATTCATTATATGTATCATGTATGCTAAAAATTGAGATCCTCTACTAATAAGAAAGAAAAGAGAAAAAAGTTGAATAAACGTGTAACGCTTAGTGAGATAGCTGAGTAATATGAGAACATACTGTTAGATGACGCTATCTGTCATCTCATCAGAATCTGTATATGAAATATAAAAAATTGGAAGTGAAAACGGAAAGTAGTATGAAGAGAGAGTCGCAAACTGAGTTTTTCTATGGCTGAAGAATTTGAATACAAATCATCTCATCGATGGGCTGAATGAGCCAGAAAGACGTTGATGACGTCAATGATGTCAGAACATAGATGAATTTATCGTATCACATTCTGCTTAAGATAGAAGATATCATCAAAAAGTTTTTTTTTAAGTTCAGTATCTCATATTGTTGACGTCAAATTTCGAAACTGTTGATGAGTGGACAAACGAAAACGAAAAAAAAAGACAAGATGCTTGGTATAAAAGATGCGAAATGAGGATGTATTCCGGTATCGAAAACAAATAGAAACGATGAAATTTCGAGAAAATTAACAAATAAAAAAATTTTTTCTTTTTTATAAACCCTGTTGTTTGATGTTTGAGTAAATTAGTCATGAAGGCATTTTCATACAATATGGAACATTCATTCAAACAGTTTTCTCGTTTTTTGGATATTTTTTTCCCTCAAAATCGACATTCTGATGAGATATGTGAGAAGACATCACAAAAACAACAACAAACTTTGGAAAAGAACTGATCTTTCTTTTTCATCTCTCTTCTAGCTGTGCTCCACAGATTCAAGCTTCGAGCAGTTGAAGGATTTAGAAATTTAATGGTTTTTCAAGTAACGAATGGACTGAAATGACCATTTGCCATGTTCCATCTGTTTGTCGAATTATTTCCTCTGGCTTTGCGGATGCCAACAAAAAAATTTTTAGAATTTCAAAGTTTTCGAATCTAAGTTTCGCATGATAGAAGTAACAAATAAAAAAAGTTAATGGAATTCTTTAAATTCAAGAAACAAGCTTACGAATCAGACAAAAATAATTTGACAGTTGAACAGTTTGAGGAATTAGGAAGTGCTTGAAATTCATGGAATGTGTTCAAAGAAGGTTTACTGACAAATAGTAGCTACCAATCAAGAGCAGATGCACAGTTAACATAGCTGGCATGAAAAGGCCCAAAAGCTTGGGATGGATTGGGGTAAAGTGCTCCACCTCCCCTTCTCCTCGTTACCATTAGGGGACGACGACGTCTTTTATTTACTTTGAAATTGGAGATTTCAAGCCAGCAAAAGCGAAGTCGAAGCGGCGAGAATGGCGTGGACGACGTGGATGATCAACCAGAGCAAAAGCTGAAGCCATCCACAAACGTGAGCGATGAAAAGTGGCAACATATGAAAAGCTTAGAACAAACGCAGAGAGGTGGAGAGAGGGATCGCCTCGTACTCTGCAGATTGTCGGTTTTCACGAGATCGTCCAAATGACATTTGACAGTTCGAAGCTGGATTAGACGTTGACGATGATGATTGACGTCATAAGAATACAGTCTGAAGAACTTCCGATCGGTACCCTTATTTTCCATTTAAGGAAGCTAATCATCATAATCTATCTATATCATCATCTCATTAGTGAAGATGAGCTACAGCACGAAAGGGTGTGCCGTCTTTTAGCGAAGGAACGTCTTTAGAGCACGATCAAGAATACGACCAAGACGTTGTGATTCCTTGCGATTCTCAACATCTATTTGTGTATTTGCTCTTTGAGGTCTCAGCTACTCATTGGCTTGCAGCTTCTAGTAGCTAACTAACTAGCAACTTGAGTTGGAAAAATGACATGAGATAATCATTGGAACAGAGAATCAAGAGAAAAAGAAATATATTTGGGTGAAAAAAGAAACAGAGAGGGAATTAAAGGTAAAATCAGATGCATAGTGATGAATAGAACGTTCCTTATATACATATGTGAGAACGCAAAGCGGAACGGTAGGCGGAAATCAAATTCCTCCCAACATATCAACGAACTAAAAGCTTAATAGGAAGTTCAGGAAAAAAGATATAAAACTGAAAGAATTTCCAGATAAACTGTATAAAAGGTGATGTGTTTCATTTCATCGCCAATCATCAGATGAGAAAAGGCAACTGATTAAATAAAAGGTCTTATGACGATAATAGCGGCTTCTGTGCAGCCGAGCAAGCAAGCTATGACGTTGATGAGATAAAATCAAAAATTACAATTAAAAAATGGGAGAGAAACTAAAAAAAATCAAACTGAATACAGAGAGACAATAGGAGGATACTAGAAAATTGTATCAGCGTTCAACAGAATCGTCTCATCGATGCTACAGTCGAGATGATGAGCTTAAAGTCAAGATGTCGTGGGAGCAAAACGATGGATGGTAAAAGTAAGTGAATGAGGGAACACGAGATGAAGAAGAGCTAGAAGATGAAAGTCATGACTGTCCTCAGAGAGACCATGAGAGAATAGAAATCATAATAAAAGACTCTTCTTCTTTCTCTTCTTCTGTTTCAGCTTCTACTAGAAGCTGCACACAACGGCGTTGAAGCGCGGGTTGGCGTCGGTGTTGCTGATGATGATGATGATGATGTTAGTGAATGAGCATCTCCCTCTTGTGCTAACATTACCTGTGCTTCAATTCAGCTATTCGCCCCTCTATTTCTCTATCTTTCAATCGCATTGTCTTCCCCTCCATTAACCCTGTACTATTTCATATAGTTATGTCTTCTCGCAACTTTATCTATTTGTCTTCAGCTACCATGCTTCCAACTATCAGAAGCCAGCGCTATGTCTACTGTATAATCTGTCTTCGCCAATTTGCAGAAGCTTCCTGGACAGAGATTCATGGAGTTAACATACAAGTCTTTAAAGTTATCTTTGTCTCTCTCTCGAAATAGAGAAGAAGTATATTAACCTCTGATTTCTTATAGCCAACTTAAAGCGAATCAGTTTAAAACTTGTTCAAACCAGAGTACAATGAGGATGTGTAAAGTTATTTTTAAAGAGGACCAACCGCTCAACGATTTTTTGTCTGACAAATGAAATTGTTGATTATACATCCACGCTTGAATAGGAAAATCTGACTAGTTGAGATAATTCAACCTCTCTCAAAATGTTTCTGAAATCTGTAGAAAGCCGATGCAATCTCGAAGTTCAAATTCATGGATTTGTATTTGATTTTTTCTCTCCCCGTCCATAATTTAGCAGAGGCGAATAAACAAAGATTGCAAAAAGGGTCAGAAAAAAGCCTGCCAATCCTTCCTCCGCAAGTTTTTACAGTTCAGATCATCGCATTTTCGTTGGTAAGGGGATGAACTGAACTAAATGACTTTTAAGCATTCATGTGTGCTTTTCGTCTTTCGAGTGTTTCAAGTGGCAACTAAGATTATACGGAGACAAACGAACGCTCGCCCATCATTATCATTGTGCAATCTTCTTTTCTTTTTTCTCTTCGTCCCTTCTCTTCCACAAACATGAAAAGGAGATGAAGATGAAAAAAACTGTTTTAGTCCTACAATTTGGAACGGCATTTAAGCCAACTAAGCGCCGTTTCTTCTTTTTTTTCTCGCGCTCACCTCTTGTGCCATTCCATTTTCTGTGGGATACGTTTACACCTGATGTTTGCGGCATCTTCTGGAGATTTCAGTAAATTATTTGAAATTGAGAGAAAGAGGGAAAATTACAATTTTATTCTTTCTTACAATACCAACAAATCGGAGAATCACTGATCAGGGTCAAACTGCATTTTCTAAAATCAACTGATGATGTTGATGCCAAAGCCATCATCGTAATTTCTGGATGTTCCTTCAATGATGAGTAAAATTAAATAAATTACAGAATGAAAACGAACTTTTCCGTTTTCTGAAAAAGACAATCCATATAGAAGAGACCCGAAAGCTTATTTACATTTGATAATCGTCAGCCAGCTTAAAGAGTTTTAAGACATAACGTTTCATCTTGGACACATTCCAATCATGATTCATTCTTCGTTTACATTCAAAGCATCTTTTTAGAGTCTTATGAAGAAGTATTTCTATTCTCTTTGTAGAAGCTTCGTCACTCTCTTCCGCTACTCTCTTTATGCCTATCCTCTCTGCTCACCATCACTTATAACACACTCTCTTCCTTTTCACATCAGTGATATGTCATTTTGTGTCTTTCAAATATGGGATGGCTTTATTGACATACAAACATTTATGAAACAATTGAATTTCCACAAAAGCTCATCTACTCATTCAACATTTACTTCAATTATACAGCCAAGCTTTGCGTGAACTTGCCAGGACGTTGTTGTTCATACAGACCTTTGAGCTTTTTGTTTGGTCAGCAGCAGATGCAGCATTCACAATTCCATAATAAGCTCACTACTTCTTTCTCATCAAAAGCCAGACGGACACCTAATGCGCCAAATGCTTGTTTGAGGTATCATCCGAACCTCGAAAGATATGAATAAAAGATTCATTTACTATATAAATAATGGTTTTTCTTTCCATTTCAATAGCAACAACATGATTTTCATCTCCTCTTCGCGGACCATCATTCTCACCAATAAAATTTGAAGTTTAGGAAGAAGAAATAAGAAAAAAAATGTAATATTTCTTCCATAGCGGGTGTTATCGTTTTCAATCAAACTTTCTCTCCAAAATATTTTATTGAACATCTGTGAAAATTATTTGTAAGAATATTCCAGCTTCGATGGCATGAAACCCGACCGAACTTCAGAAGCAAAATAAAAAAAACTCAAACAAAGACCGAAAAACTGCAAAAGGATTTGAATAAGAAATATATTCTGAAGGATATCAATCTATTCGTCTAAAACTTGGATATTCAAATATGAAATGTTTAAACCGTTACTGAATGAATCACAGATGACGATCTTCCTTTCTACCTACCCTCGCCACCTCTTATTCGACCGAAATAGAAATTAGTACAACCGCTCGGCTCGTCGTAGTTTAAAAAAAGTGAAAATATCAGTGTTCAAACTGTCTACTTGGTTCGTGGATATCCGGTTAATTAGCATAGAATATCATGTTATCAGTTATACAAATGGTGTCTAGGCTGTTTTCTATTTCCTCCCTAGCTTTGGTCACAAAATCTATCGAAAACACAATATATATTTTCTTTTTTTACTTACAATCTAGATTACTTTTTCATGATTAACAGGAAATGATTTTATGAAATCTTTTCCATTTCGATTTGTACAGGAACTTGATGAGCTATGTTCGCCACTGTTGGCAACTTGAAAACTCTAAGCTTGCTGAAGTAACATTCGGACAAAAGATATAATTTGTAATTTAAAGATTCTATCTTATCCATTATCGTTGTCCCATAAATATTATCCCGGTTCTATCAATTGATCACGAAGATTTTCCTTTCAATCGGGTCATGTCCCATTTTGAATTCATTCACTTTTCTGGAAAACTGTTCACCGATCATCCAACTTCACCAATCTATAATTATGAGCCCAATAGCATTGGTTATCCTTATTCTCGGTTAGTTTTATACTTTTTTCATATTCACTTTAATACATTTCCAAGAACTTTACTTCATCCCTATTATCAACATCAAGAAAAAGTTTTTTTTTATTAGACAGCTGCGATACAAAATAACAAAAAAAATTTTTCTCATTCTGTAAACATGTTTTTCTCTTGCCTTTACTTCTTCGAATTTTTTTTTCATTTCTAGATCATATATTACTTAATTTTTTTTTGCTTCCCCTCACATCACCTACTACCTCTTCGCACCAATTCTATCTTATTCTCTTATCTTCACTTCTCTTCAAAAAATAAACTCTCACTCCTTCATTCATTTCCTCTCTCTCTCGCTACTTCTCGTCTTACTAACAGCCCGTTTACATTTACATTCCCATTTATATCATATAAAAGTTATTTTGACTTTTTTTAGCTTTGTGTTCGAATGTTGTTGCAAGAAAACATGAGCTTCGTATGGTCATCCCACCATGCCCTCAAGGTTCTCGTCCTCTACTTCGTCCGGATGGCCAGCCACGTAAATGTCTCCCACATCAGAACTCTCTGTGTGTGAATGCTCTTCCCGATAACGTAAGATACAAACATTTAATTATTTCCGACAAAATTCAGTTTGTGTTACAGCATATCAAATAAAGATTTTTTTTTCAGCCAGATGCCGATACCGTTTGTTGCTACAACAATCAAGTCGATTATTTCTGCTGTCTCGACACAACAGCAGAGCAATGCCCAGATTATCATCAGGTCAGATAACAGTTCAGAGTGTAGTGTATGAAACAAAAAAAAAACTAATGTTATCAATCAAGTATGAAATATGAAAAAATTAGAAGTTTGCTTGAAACATGTCTGTGTACCCACAACTGCGACCTTGATGAAAACCGGAAACTCGTTTCTCGACTATGTGTTACATGTGATGCCGAACAATGACTGTTTGGAGATTCAAAAAAAGTTGTAAAAATCGATTGAAAGCCTACAAACTGTGTGAAGTGATGTTTCATAATAGAAAAAATGATAAATATTTCCTTTTATTATTTCTAGGTTACCGTTGTCATTCACAACAGTTTCCCTCAAAATCCATTCAGCCTGAAATCATACTTCTTCCGTGAGGGAATAGAGGATGACATCATCAAGTCAGCTTTTGATAATTCAGTGGATAATGGATTCGGAAGACTTGTAAAACGACAAGCAGATAATTGAATTGCTGGAGAGATGAGAGAAAAAACATTTTCTTTTTCACATTTTTATTTTAAAAATCAGGAATAATAAAACAAAATAATAAAACTATTGATCTTCCAAATATGATGTGACTTTGACTTTTAAAATATTCATGAATAAACGATTATATTTAAGGTTTTGACGTTTTCTTCAATCTTTTAAGCTGTCGCAAAAAAATCATAGAAATTAACAACCCCAGGTAACATTGGCAGATTCACGTGAGCAATTTGAACTTTAAGATTTCTCATAAAAACTTGTTCTGAACAAACAATTGAACGTAAACAAACAGCTCATCAAATTTATAAAATCTCTTTCTCGCTCTATACATTTACTTCTCTAACTCTCGTACACTTCTAACTGAAGGAGGAAGAAAAAGAAAAAAATGCTTCTGAAGTGAGCATTTCCTCTGGTGACGAATAGAGAAAATTAAAGTTACAAACTGAAATAACACTTGAAACATCAACTTTTTCGAGTACAAAGCTCTATTCAACGTTTCACTGGCTATTTTCTCGATTACAAGAAATATGTTGAGAGAGAGACGCAGAATGTGTTACTCAAGAAATGAAAGAGTATATTGTTCCGTGAGCGTATTTTTTAAGACATAATAGGAATTGATGAGAGACAGACGTCTCATGAAGAAACCAGCTGAGTTTGAGATGTGAGGAAAGAAGAAGAGAGAGTGAGAGAGAGAGACGAATGAGTTGTCTCTTTGGGTCATTATTTGCATCTCTTCCTGCTCCACGCGACAGCTCGTATCTCTCTCTTGTGCCCGTCTTCCTTGTTTCTTCTCTCTTCTTCATTGCTCCCTTTTTTTCTCTCTCTTCTTCTCTTTATGCCCCTTCGTAGCGTTCTCTTATGTGCGCTTTGCCATAGTGTCATCAACGATTCTCATTCTTTCGCCAATTTTCTTTTTCTCTCTCATTTCTCTCAATCATTTCATACTTGTTCTTCCTATTTTCCCTCAGTTTCCAGCCAATGCCCTCTATAGTTGGTTCCTCCTCCCCTTTCACTACCACCCGCCCCGTCCCAGTCAAGCCCCAAAGGGGCGGAGACTTTGTGTGTAGCAGGCGCAATGCAACCGAGGACGAGCCTACTATTAGCCAGAATCTTTGCAGCTTCAATTAATCTTTTATTCATTGTAAGTATATGTTAATCTTCTTGTTGCCTTTTTTGGTATTTCCCCATAATCTTTCATAGCATAACGAAACATTTGAATCTAATTATAGACATGCTCTGCTTGCCTCATAGGATTAACTTTTCTGGCTACAATCAATCCTCCCCCTGCGGATGTGGCGCCAGTTAGGGTTGATACATATCCACAAGTAAGTCGCACAGCTCTATGAAGCAATAAGCTCAATGTTTACCTTTTATAGTATGTGATTACTTTATTTTTAATAGCTGCATATGCCGTGTGTTTGTTTATGTTATCATCTCTCGGCATCCTTTCCTTATGTGTGTTAAATTCTTTTCTTCTTTCTGTGGTGAGTTTTACTTTAATTTGTTTATTTCTACTTTATTCGTTTTATTCAAATCATCATAACTATTCGAAGCGAGTATTGATTATTTGTTTTAAGCATATTCTTTGTCAAATAGCAATGTTGATAGCGCAGTTAGTTGCTATAGCCTTCACCGTGACTGTTCGTAAAAGGGTGAGTCTAGATACTAATAACTTCCTGTTTTCCTCATTTTCGAAGAAAAAAAACATGGTCATCATTTTGCAGGTTCATGGCAAGTTAGAAGAAAGCTGGCAGGAACACCTAAAATGCACGCCTGGATCGGAGTGCGAGCCTTTAAAAAGATTTCTTAGTTCCGAAATGCTCCTTATCTTCTTCTTATGTTTCTTTTTGATAGTCCAGGTTTGTTTTATCGTATATATCCCTGAACATGTCTGTTTAAGGTTTGCCTGCTAGTTGCTACAGGCTACTTAGCTGAAAAGCAATCATCAGAAGAAAGGTCGAAGTTACAGCGGGAAAAAGATGAAGATGATGATTAATTTCCATCATTGAGTCGATAGATCCAAATAACAAGGTGAGTGTTTCCTCGAATGACGTTTTAGGTGGTTTGACCTTCCTCTTCCTCATTCTAAAAATACAAATAACTAAGAAAATGATAAAAATAACCGATGACTAATCTTTTCAAACTGTTTTTCTTTTCAGTCTAGTTGTTTTATCAAAATACTACGAGGTAGCCATGAAGTCCTTGACCGGTTATGTACAATTATGGAAGTATGGGTTCGTACAAAACTTACCTTTGTGTCAAATTTCTATTTTCTGTTATCGTGCCTTAAACATCACTTTTATGAATTTCACTTTTGTATATAAAAAATAAAACTTTTATTTCTACTAAACATTCTCATTCGATTAAATGCATCGAATACAATCTTTCGTGTTCATCGTTAGAGAAATCTGCTACGAAATTTACACTGACAATCTCATCAAATCCCTCCGAGAGCTCAGGTTTCTGAAACGAAATAATTTGTTTCCTGCTTTCTCTCTCTTATCATCAATGATATTAGGATTAAACCTTGTATTTACTATTGTGCATTCTCAAAACCATCGATGAGACGATCGGTACGCTTGAATTAGTCAAAGTTCGGAAACGAATATTGTGTAGAGCATGATCCATCGTGCAGTTCATGACAAAACATCGCACACTAACAGACATAGTCTTTGCCAATGACACATAACGAGCCCTTAAAAGCAATAAAAACACCCACACTTTACTATCAAAGCTTCTCCCGTTGTCTTTCGCTTACTCACCTCGATTCTACATCTGGGTTTGTGTTGTCTATTATCACACTTCGTCCGTCCTCCAGTTCTTTCTTCGCTTGAGCGACACACTTTTGCCAAGTCCCAAGAATATCCCTGAGAATCGAATTTCATCATTAATAATTCCATCTTCATAAAGAAAACCTGCTAACGATGGCATAATTGTGCTCAGCTGCAATATTTCTAGCGAAAGTCGATTTTCCAGAGCCAGGAAATCCCACCATAAGGATGAGTTCCTTATCCTGAGAAGGCACTTTGGCATCTAAAAGTTTATTCTTAAACAGAAAAAGAAGTGTTTTCGTAACTAACGTTCTGGTTCTAACAAAGGCAATTTCTTGGCTATAAACTCCGTAGGTACGAAAGCGGGTGTTTTCCAAGGTTCTTCTTTTTTTTCGAAGAAGAATTGTTCAGGGGTGAAAAACTTCAATCCTAAATTTATGGCGAGCAAACGATCAGCTGATGAATGATCTTTTTTTGGCCTTGTCTGATCGGAAGTGTTTTAACAAGAAAAGATAAAACATGAAAACCTTTGTGACAATTCGACCAGCAGCATCTCCGACAAAAAGACTTTCTTCTTTATCAATTTTGACATCATCGTTATACCTTTCCAATGCTTCCCACATACCCGTACAAGGCTTCCTAAATCTCCCACTTCCAGCGGAGATAAACACCTAAGTTTAGTTGAGAAAACGAAAATATGTGGAATCTAACATGAATTGGTACTCCTAAAGCTTTAACAACAGCTTCAATTTTTTTTTGGAAATCTTTCTTGAGGACGTGTCCTTTCTGGAAGGGTTTACTCATGAATACGAAAAACGAAAGAGGAATGCTAACCTCAAGACCTTTCTGGTTAGTGAAAATACAAATTTTATACCCGTCATTGTACAACTCCGCTAGTTTTTTTGGAATTTTCGAGTCCAAGAGTTTCCAATCATTAGTATCTACAGGAAAAACTTTTCCTGATTTAGTAGTTATCAACGTTCCATCTAAATATACAAACTGTTGTAAAGTGGGGAGGAGGAAAATCTGAAAGACCCATGTCAAAAGCTGCTATTTTCTTTCTATTCTCCAAATTCTTCGAAGTGAAAATGAGAAGCGTCTCATTGTCCTCTGAAGACCAGAAGCCTGAAGAAGGAATCTCCCGTCCGAAAAGATCTGGAAGAACGAATACAAAAACGAACAGGATGGCTAAAACCTTTCCCCATCGAAGAACTGTCTTTCCTCTTCCCGTCACTTGATCTTTTCATGTGAACGCGTTGATCTATACGAATGTTAGTGAATTATCTTAGTAATAGAAAATAAATCGAAGTATCATAGGATACAATGTAAATGTATGTTAGTATACAAACACGGAAGAAATTTCAAAAAACTACGTTTTATTACATCCTACATAAATTCAAATGAGAAACAACAGGAAATCATTTCTTTCCTCCTCGTAACTGTGCTCGTTTTCCTTGGCCGATTGCCGGCCTAACTACTTTACCTCTCATCATTTTCAATTCATCTTGTACCTGAAAAATATCTCAGCATGAAAAAAGAGAGCAAGAGCAACGAACTTGGCGGAAGACAATGTGATCATCAAAGAATAAACCATGGTATCGTAACATTTTTGTCAAATAATGGAACATTGGTAAGTTGGGATAGTACTCTGGTGACAATTGTTCTCTCTGTTCATATGGTTCCATTGCCATTACGCGAACAACCTGAGAAAGAAGTGATCAAGTTGATTTCTCTACAACGCAAACCTTTTGGCTTTTAGTGTCTGTGGGTAAGACAACTTCTGAAAAAATTCTGGAGCTCAGCCTGTCCATCCTTTTACCAAACGAAGTAGGTTGTCCCATACCTCGACCGACTTGTGCTATCCTAGAAACTGCCAAACGTGACATCTAAGAAAGTGAAATAGTAAGTTTGGAGGTCAAAGAAAAAGTAATCATGGAAGTAACAATCCACATGGAATGTGTGAACATTAAATAAATATGTTAATAATAAGTGAATGACATAACCGCATAGACATAGCTCAAACAATACGAGATCCGAGAAAAACAATTTCATAAATCACTAATCAGTTTTTTTTAGCGAAGAAACTTCCAATGCTACGAGTACCCTTACTCGCTTGTTGTAACTGTTTCTTAATAACAGATTCCTTGGGACGCTGTAGAGTATTTATTAGTGGTGCTACATTTTTTCACCTTTTTACCTTGGCAGGCTTTTCTGCAAGAAGTAATGATTCGTCATCAGCTTTCCGTTTGATGGGGGCCTCACTCTCCATTCTTTTTTGACACTCCGAAGCTTCCGGTATATTGAGAAACTCTCTTATCGAAGGAACAAAAGATGTAGCTAAGTACTCAGTTAGAACTCCGAAAACATAACGAGAAAGGGCAGCCTCTGAAAGTATAAATGATTTCAAGATCGTATTGTCCAACTAACCATCTTCAAGAACGCTAGCATGCAATCCTCCACACTCTTTGAAATAGGTTTTCAAAATTTCGAAACGGCTGCTGATCCAAGCATTGCATTTGCTTTCATTATAGCGGACAACGGTGGTATCACAAACATCTGAGGGAATTCAGTCAAGTATGATCCTTAGCATCAATGTCAACCTTTAATATCAGCAACTTTCTCCAGACTCTTCTTGAGCTGCTTGTTTGTAAGTAACATTCTCATGGCGGGAAAGTCTTCGTCGGTAAAGAGATCATCAAGTTCAAGGAACATATCCTGCAGAAGATATTTTAGTTTCACAGGATCCAAGAGGTAAAACCTTCTTATTATAGAGGTAAGGGATAACCAAGAAGAGCGGATGAATAGGTGTTAAAAACCGAATAGTACCATCGCCTGTTATAGAATCACCGAAGAAAGTAGACCGGAATCCTTCGTCAATAAGCAGAACCTTCAACCAATTTACTCATACTGACACAACTTCCACTGCTTACCTCGTCACAAAAATCTTCTCCAATGCGAAAGAGAGCAGGTTTTGCCGATTTGGGGTGAGGAAGAAGAACTAAGGAACTACCCGGGAAGTTTTCTGAACACAAAAACTAATATTGCCCACTATTTAGAGAAATACCAGGAGCTATCACCAATTTCACAGCGACGGATAGATCTGGTGAGGGCATACCGGTCTCAACTTCGATAGCTTCTTCCATCTCAACAGCATCTTCGTCAATATCAATTTTTGCAGACCTCGTTCTCGTCATACCTTATTATAGCAAACTATAGGTAGACGTAATAATAAAAAGAGAAAGATATGAATCTATCCAACATAGGAAACTAGAAGAATTAGAGAAGTTCAATCACACAAGCCCTTTATAGTTCCGAAACAAGTGGTATGTACAAATATATCCATAAATAGAGTGTAAAACAACAATAGAAGTCAAGAATGGAATATTATCTAGGAAACATTTTGTAAAAAAAAAGGATACAAGATGCAACGAAAATAGAATATTAATTTTTAAAAGGTGACTAGAAAAATCCACCTTTACCTCCACTAGCTTTTTGTAATTGACTCATCATGCTTTGTAAACCACCCATTCCTCCCATCTGTTGGAGTATCCTTGGATCCATCATCTTGGCCATTTGCTGATTCAACTTCGCCATTTGCATAGGGTTGACGTTCTTCGGATTAAGATCTCCAGTTTTAGTCTGAAAGAAAAAAATAAAATCTAGACAAAGAGGATTGAAATACGTTGAACAATCCTTTCATGGATCCCATTTTCTTGACCATGTCGGCAAACTTCTTGTACTGAGAAAGAAGCTCTTTGACGTCAGCTTGAGTTGTTCCAGAGCCTCTTGCAACTCGAATAATACGACCTGGCTCTTTGGTGAAGAGATCATTAGCCTTAGCATGATCCAACTCTTCAATTACGAAAATCGAATAGAACATTAAGTAAGATAAAACCTTTGTCACTCATAGAATCCATAATTGTCATGAGGCGTTTAAGTCTGTTCTGAGATTCTTTCTCGTTTCCTTTAGACATGAACTCTGGGCCAAACCCTGGGATCATGCTCTATATAAACAATATCATTAATGAATCTAAAATGCTATAGCTGACCATAATTTGACTGAATGGCCCCATCTTCATTAAGTTTTGGAACTGCTCGTACATATCACGGAGTGTGAATATTCCTAAACATCCCTTATGGTCGTTATCTATGATCATAACTCTCACCATGTTTGATTCTCGATACGAGTTCTTCGTTGTCATGAATACCGATATCGTTTACCATATCAACAAGCCCAGCAATATCTCCCATACCCAGCAATTTTTGAACAAAAGCCTTTGGTTTGAAGATTTCAAAGTCATCAATGTGTTCTCCTGTACCGATGAAAATAACAGGAGACTTTGTGACAGCCACACTGTAGAAGAAAACGATGAATATGAATGAACTCGTATGTGACATACGCTGAGAGGGCTCCTCCTCCTTTAGCATGAGAATCAAGCTTAGTTATAATGACTGATGCAACATCAACAGTTTGAGAGAAAGCTCTTGCTTGAGCTTCGCAAGCTTGACCAATAGACGCGTCCATAACGAACACAACATTATCGGGGTTCTAGGGGAAATAAAATCTTTAATTTGAACTACACTGAATACGTACCACAGCGTTCGAAACTTGGAGCATTTCTTCGAACAAAGATGCCTCTTGTTTGTGCCGACCAGATGTATCAACAATAATGATTTCGAAACCTTCCTTAGTGAACTTTTCCACTCCTTCAGCGGCAATAAGAACGGGATCCATTTCGGAATAGGAACCTTAAAGTTTCATGATTTAAATCAAGTTGAAGTTAAAATAAAACCGTAGAAAGGAATTCGAGCTTTGGTTGCATTTTGTTTCAACTGGTCGAAAGCTCCAGCACGGAAAGTATCAGCGCAAATCAAGCAAGTTTTCCATCCTTTACGTTGGTAATAGTAGGCCATCTATTTCAATGAAACATGAAGATTCATGGAAGGTCTAACTCACTTTAGTACAAGTTGTTGTTTTACCAGAACCCTGCAAACCAACGAACATAATCACGTTTGGCTTTCCTTTGACAGGTTGGAAAGGAGTCACTCCAGGATCAACCAATTTTAAAAGCTCATTGAAGACTGATCGTTGAATCAATCGTCTTTTATTAACTCCTCCAACCATATCTTCGAAATTGATGGCCTTCCTAATGTAGAAATATATTCAAAAATATCAATGAAGTTATAGTACTTGACATTATCCTGGAGTTGCTTGACCAAACGAATATGCACATCGGATTCGATCAAAGCCATGCATACCTTCAAATATTCAAAGAGAGGTTAATTTCCCAATTGAGATCTCAGATGTTTATAGTTTATAAAAGTAAAGAACTAATGCTACACTGTGCCTCCAACAAATTAGACTAAAATCCATGACACGTCAACGAGAAGAACGTGTCTCACTGACTTATTTTTTGTATTGCTGCATGGATGAACGGTTGTTATGTTTTCAATAAAGAGGATTTCGGTAATGATTGAATAATAATATAGTGCACAAGGGCTGTTTCTTTTTTTTACTTCAATTACTTTCAATATTCACCTCTTTTAGCATAGCATTTAGCTCCTCCTCATTAATAATAGTGGCTTGGCCCAACTTGCCAATGGCATTACGAATCTTGCGTCCCAAATCGGCCAATACCATTTTGCTTAAAACAATTTATGCAAATTCAGCAGGAAAACAGTATCACAACTATTCACGATAAGAACGAAGAATTAATCTGATGATGATACTATTCAGATCATAGAAGAAAAAAAATTGAACTATAATGAAGCTTAATATAAATGTAAAACGGAATAAGAAGAATAGAAGCTATAATTATTGAACCTGCTCAGCATCCAAAGTGGAACATGGCCCCTTCTGATATTCCTTTGCGCAATGCTGGTGTCCCAGAGTTTGCGTATTCTCAGTGTTTCACTTCAAGGTGTTGACGTGAAGTGGGTGATAACAGAGAACCTGTGAGAACCTAATAAGTTTTATGAATGTTGTTGCGAAATTGGAGGCTAAATGGTACGCAAAACTGTTCTAATATTGAACGTATGTTATACAATAATAACAATAATATTATTTCATCAGTTTTTCAAACACAAAATATCGATCTATCGAGAAGTCTGAGTTCAGAGAAGAATTGTTTTTCCTCTTTCCAGGTTTCTGCTGTAATTCCGTTTTTGATAGAGTTTTAAGTGATGACTGAGGCTTCTAAAGGTATCTTACCATCTCTATACGCTTTCATCGGAAACAATTTCAAGGGGCCAGGATTTCAGGTTTTGGATTCGGATCTCAAAAGAGAAGCTTAAGAAGAAGTGATTTTCGAATACATAAAATTAATAAAGTTTACCATTTATAGTTTTACACACAGTCAATAAAGATTCAGCGGATGATGATTCTAGAACAGATCGATCACGTAAGCCTCTGAGTATATAACGCACCAGTTTTTGATTTGAAGGTACGCCTGATAGGTCTCGATCGTCTCGAAGTTTCAATAGCTCTCCCCATTTCAAATCGTATGTTGTTTTTGTTGTGAATTCTACTGTACCATGTTTGAAATTTCCAGTAATGACGAATATTCCGATAGCGGGCTAAGCAATGATTACGATCCTCCGAGCTCCAACGATTTCAGAGATAGAGGAGTGTCATTCAACAGCTATCTTAATAATATTAATAGATGTTTGTTCCGTCAGAGACACATCAATTTAGTGTTGTTGTTTAGTTTTAAATATCGTTCCTTTTTCTAATCCGCCACATGCCGAAACTTTAAATCTAGTTAGAGGGCCTCTAGGTGTATGCTTTGATGAAGAAAAGAAGGAATGGATAATTGCTGATAGCATCAATGATAGAGTTTGTTTATGTAGGCGAACATTTAATCGATGTATTGTTTAGATTATTCTCTACCCATCATCATACGAGATATCAGTGGACAATATCGAATGTCCAACCGCTGTTTGCACATTCGAGCCCGGAAAGTCTGTTGCTCTATTGTGCAAGAAAACAATTGTGATTTTCCATTATGACACACGGCAGTGTGATTACATCTACACAGATGACATTAATATTAACTGCAGAGGTAAGCAGCTTCTTCACTTAGTAGAGAGAAATGTCCTTTAGGATTGGGCAGAACTCCAGGAGGCAATGTCGTAACTATCCATCGAAAGAGATCGAATGCGGAAATATCAATTTTCGATAGTGTGAAGCACAATACTGTATGTTTCATGCCTTACTATTTCTGGAATAATAGTTTTTAAGTGTCTTGGCTCTTTTGTTTTCGAAAATAATGCTGATTGCAATCCGTCTTTCCTTGATATGGTAGGCGATAAATTGGTTATATCTGACTTGGGTGAGTAGGATACACCTTGATTCATGTAATAGTTACTGATTAAGGTCAGCAAAAAATTTTTATGTGTAGATTAGATGATACAGATGTCAATAATATCGTTTTCGATATTATTGCAACGCACACTAAAGTGTGGAGTGAAGTAAGCATAGTCTCGTTGTTCTTTATATTTGCGGTAATCCTAGCGAAACCTTGAGCCAGAAGGTGGTTTTGCTTATGTCTCTGGTGTACAATTAGACAGAGACGGTAATGTTATAGTAGCGGATGCTAGAGGACGAACATTTCAGGTTGGTACCGTCACACTTATGACTAATACATAACTTTTTAAGTTCTTCGATTCAAGGCTTAACTTTTTACATAGACTTCAAGTAGATATTGCAATGCCGTACGTCAGCTCTTTCTACATCAATACACATGGCCATGTGTTAATGTGTGATCGAAGAGCAAACCGAATGATTTTAGCTAAGCTCAAAGCTACTTCATCAGTTTCTCCCCTCTCTTCACCTTGGGTATATGCCAAGATAGTGAGCGTCCTAATAATTATTTTACAGCCAACTCGCAATACTGGTGGGTACACGAGAGGCAGAAATAGAAGAAATCAGCAATATAATCGTTAACTTGTCAGTTCATAATGTATGACCGTGTTCATTTGGTTCTCTTTTTATCGTTATTGTTTTGGTTATTGCATCAAATGCATTTTCGCTTTTTTTTGTTTTCTCTTGTTATCTGAAACGCATTCGGTATACATCCACAATTACATGATTTTGAAACTAACCACTTTTGTTCATTCATTGGTTTAAGATATGCAAATGCTTTAAAATGAGACTCGGGGCCAGGTTTCTTTTGGTCATTACTGCCGTACTAGGCTTGCTCGTAGTTATACATCTCGTACGATCAGCAGGTTTCATTGTTCGCTAAAAATTGTCTCATTTTTCTTTTCAGCTCCCACTGAAGACGAATCGACTGCTCCCAAATTCTTTGATAAAAGAATTAATCCAGGTTCGGAGCATATATCGGTGACAAGACTAGAATGGGTGTTTTAGATGTTTGCTTCTATGACCATAGTTGTGCCGCTCCTAAAATTCTATTTAGGATTCAAGGAGAACATGCCAATATACATCCTTTTGCATGTTTGAATGATATAAGGTTGCAGTTTTTCTGAAATTCTTTCATTACCTTCTCCCAGGCTTTTCCGTGAATCCTTGAAAGATGGTCTGCACTTCGCCTCCCTTCATGGTAGTACTGGCGACATTTTAGAGACGAAATATTTCGATTTATCTAAGAGCGGAGTGATCATAGATTGGCTGAGGTTCATAGAAATTATAAGAGTCAGAAATTATCCGTGTTTAAGCTCGTTGGCTGAAGCTACAATGGTTATTGCTATATCTACCGGTGATGTTGCAGAAAAACTTTCATCGCAAGTTTGGCCAACCTTAGCTCTTTATGGAGCCACGAAAGTGCAGTTTTGGCACTCTGGTCAGTCCTACACGATGATCGGGCAACGTGGGCTTAAACAATCCGCTTATGAGCAAATTATGAGTATTGGATCTACAACTGAAGATGTTCTTCAAGGTTGTTTTGATGTTCCATTGGGTGAACTTGCTACAGAGAATATTACTAAAGTAAGAATCGAAAGGTATTTTTGAAGTCGATATCAAAGAAGTATAGAGTTTATTCCATTAGAATTTACAAAGTCTCCGGAAAAGATTTATCCGGACTCTCGCAGATGTACACTAATGTTACTCTAGGAGATGTTTATGAGAATTGTGGAATGGACAACAAATGTGACAAAGGTAGTCGTAAATTGCTGAAGTCTCACGACATTTTTAATTAAGATGAAGTTCCCATGCATCTATTTTCTGGAGAACATAAAGATGATTTCCCGAAAATTTGTGTTGGTGAACGAATGATTTTCGACAAAGGTTTAAATGAAGCTGGTCGCGGTTTGAATATTCTGACATTGGATTCAAGAACAGGGATCGTAAGAAGTGCAGCTCATTTCGATACCTACGAAGATGGTATAGCTTACTCTGAATGCGGAGTTAAAGAATATTATATGCAGATTCAACAGCGTTAGAGGAGTTTCTTGACACAATACCCACGGGTGACATAGTTGCCGCTGTAAGCTTCGATGAAGCATCTAATATGTATGGCTCCATTTTTCGCCTTGAGTATATTTGATATTCGTAGGCTTTCTGACATGGCAAGAAGTATTCTATATGAGATGGGGTCGAGCATGATTCATAGGTTGAAGTTCAGAGCGTCCTGGTGATCTCTTCTAGAAAATACAATTTAAATTTAAATCCATGGGTTTGCAGGTTTTTCATTGGACAAAAGGGCATTTCCGCTTATACTCCATTTGAAGATTTGAATATACCTGCGGGCAATAGCTGGGCAAAGCCAGTGAGAGCATGGTTGTGCTTGCCACTAAAACGTATGGTCTTCAATAGTTTGTAGATTATTTTTCTTTTAGTTAAAAAGTGGACTGGTCTCACTCCAAAAATGGTTGTCAAGCGTGCTAGAAATGTTGCCAAAAGACATTTTTGCGCCAAACACGATCATGTTTCGTTCTGTTCAGGTATCGAATTGTAACAGAAATAGTCGGTCCAAAAGTCTAACTCTAGAAACAGCTATCGATGATCCGGTGTTGCCTCCAGGAATGTTTTTGGCGAAAAATCCTGATCACCCAATGTTTAACATTCCAATACTAATAGTAGCAGGTGTGTGTTTCAAGATACAACTTACGATGCTAGTTAACGAAGTCGTTTATCTTGGGTATTTTATGTTGATTCAATGGGAATAATTTGTTTCGAGTTTTACAAAAAAATTTTAAGGTCTGTCCACCTCCAGTCTCCTGAGCACTCTGCAAACCTTGGTTCAACAAGAGCATCTGAACTTAGACATGGTCATCATTGCGCACGACAAGGTTCTTTCTTTATACTTAATCACGGGTTTCACCGAATTGTATGTATTAGGAATATCTCGAAAATTCACATGTTGCGTCTCTATTTCACATGAAATCACTTTCTTTCAACGGATCTGCTGGCTATAATGGTATGAGAAGGTTCTAGCCCTCAGGCTTTATTGAATTTTCGTAGACATGTTGATTTCTGCAATTGGAGAAACATTCACATTGTTTCCATCGTCCATAGCTGTGGCCGTCATAACGGAAGATGTACACAAATATTTTCTTCTTTCATAGATGACTAATATAATTCAGGTAACTTTGTCTAAAGATTGGCTCTCCTACTTTGCTGCATTTGTTCATCGAATTGATAATTCGTCTTCTATTGAAGTTGTGAACGCGTTCAATCCGAACGGTAAGTGCTGTTCAACTGACTGGTTCGATGTTTTCGTTCAGGTTTCACTAACACATCTCTTCGCGGTTCTGTAGCTTACCGTACTGGCTATTCTCCGAGTTATTCTTATATGATTACCCGTTCATGTTTTGATTCCAAAATTCGGAGTAAGCCAGAATGTTGTACAGAGCAGAACCACTGGAAGTTGGATATAAGCGCAGTTACACCCGAACTTTCAAGAGTCTCCGTCTCTCCACCACCTGCTATCGACCCAATACCTTGGGAAATTCCAGTGTTGTTTAATCGACCTAGGAGAGCGAGGTGTTTTGGTATAATATTATATATTCATGTCTAATTTCAGTCGTTCGGAGAGTGTCTTCTCTTCAGAAATTATGAATGACAACGCCTATGACGAGTCCATCAAAACACTTTTGGTGAACTCAAGTGTTGTAGACTTTAATAACATATCATGTGAAAACTGGAAGAGCTCAAAATTTAAATCAAAGTGATCAGTCTTTGAAATTGGTAGTACTATTCTTTCTTTGCAGAGTTCTCACAATAGTGGTGGAATCTTCAAACGATCGCAAAGCAGTGTCGTCATGCTTTGGCCTCTCCTATCAGCCTGGCTTTCTCAATGGCTGGTATAAAGAAACTCTGAGGTGTGAACAATGAAAGAAATTAATTTAAATGTTTGCTTCAGGTTCTCTACTAAAGTGTTTGAAGATGTTATCGTAGTCACAAAAAATAGTCCGTTTCATAATATAATCAGAGCGGTATCGTCGGCATAATATAGTGCGAGCCTTAGGCTAATTGTTTGTTTCTCATATTCGTTTTAACTGTTTTGAACTGCTCAAAAAACCCGATACAGGTATTCAACTCTTGCCCGCCTTTACTCAGAAAAGTTGTAAATAACTTCTAATAAATTGGAAAAAAAATTTATAATAACAACTAGTAACATCAACAAACTTTCTTTTACTCGACACATGGGAAGTATGCGCGTTTATATCCCTGTCTTTGTTGTAAGGGTTTATACAAATCATTCACAAGATTATTTCCAGAACCACTCGAGCGCATTGAAAGATAAGGAACTTTCAGTTGTACCTAAAAATACTCTTTGACGTTTTTTTTGCTAAATTTCGCTTAACCTGAGAAGAAAGGAAATCATGAGGAACTGTTATGCCCTCCCCTCTGGCTAATACTGTAACTTTATTCATTTCTTCAGGAGATAATGGAGAGCAAATATACAGCTTTCTGTTTATCAAATCAACACCTCGAACGAAGCCTCAAATTTAAGATGTGAAAAGAACTCGGATGGGTTAAACTTACCGAATCCTAGACATCTCATTGCAGGACTGTTAGATGAGACTAGGTATATAGATGGCAGGTACTCTCTCTCCAGAAGATGCCTGGTTACCTATATTTTGCACTCAAGCTTCAATTCATAAGAAACAAACTCACCAGTTTGTCCTCATTAACAGGGGCACAGAGCGCAACGATCTGAACGTTTATGGTGGCGAAAAAGTCTTCATCTTTGAACTTTGACAAATCTTCTGGGATGGCAAAAATGAGATCTCTGTAGATATAGATAGATGTGAACGTACAAATTTTACAGCTTCAAAAAACCTGAACGGTACTATATAAGGTAGAACTTCGTTGAAGCAGGATAGGACAGAACGGGGAAGGAGACTGGCGAAGTATGCAATCATGCTTAATTCTCGAAGCTCACGTCCTTTCATGGCCCTCTCATACCGATGCCTAGTATTAGTAACAAAATAAGACTACATGAATTCTGACTGACTGATTTCTTATGACTTCTGCTACGTAGCTGTTTGGTACGTGTATAGGCCGAACTGTTATTACTTTCGGAACAAAGGATGGAACTTTGAAAAATCCGGAATTACTGGGCAATAATACGGCCAGATCAGGTCTTGCTCGCTCGAGGATATGATTTAAAATTTCCTCACCTTTCCCTGAAAGAGGAAAGTAAAAACCAAAAAACACTGGTCTGGAACTGAAACCTTTGATCCAACCCATGGTGTTTATTATGAGGAGAGAGCCAGGCTCTGATTTTGATGAAAACTCATTGAGTAGAATCTCGAAAGCGTTCTGAATGGAAGAAAACAATGTTCAGCAAACAAACGCAAAACTACCAAATACTTTTCAATGTCCTCGGCAGGACTAAGATTTCCTAAAAATAGGCAATTAGAAAAGGAAGGTTTCTGATGCGCCCAAGGAACGCCTAAAATGCATTTAAGTTCAACGAGAGGAAAGTAACAAAAAATACTTAATAACGGCTCTGTTAATTTGTATAGAGAAAGACATCCACTAGGGTTACACTCTGTCTGCCCAACATCTGAGTCCAAGTAATAGACAGGAGGAAATTCTCTGTAGTGATATTAACTGAGCTTTACAAAAAAGGAAACTGACGGTTTCAAGTTGCGGTTCGCAAAGTGCCGAAGGAATGTAGATTTTCCAGCACCTTTTTCAGCACATGCGATAACAGAACATCTCTTTCCTTCTACTACAAAAAAAAACAATGAGAACCTCAAAATGCTACTCTGTTCAATCATACATCTCTTATTGTTAAGATGTTCGATACTTCTTGCTATCTCTTTCGCACATTCATCGGCATACAACTTCCAGGAAGAGTCTTCGAAAAACCATCCGTATTCTAGTTCGGAGAATTGACGGGCAACAAACGGTAGTAGTAAAGTCTAAACAGAAATTTTTGAGGAGACTTTCAGAAAATATGGGTAAACTTCGTTAAGATTATGAATACATTCAACAGCTGCAGGTAACTTGCTACTTAAAACAAGCACCGAAGGTTGTTTCGACCCAATATCCTTCATGATATTTTCATAAAGCACTGTTATCTGGAAACAATGGGACTGAATTCTGAAGAGAGCGGAAAGCGTACCTCTTTCAGTCTATACTTTAATCTGTTATGTTTGTAGTTAACAGAGATTTCATTATTAGTAAGAGCTTCAAATATTAACTGTAAAAAAGACGAGTTCGAAACAATAAAAGTTGGAGTAACTTACTGGTTTTCCAACTCGATGAGGACAGCAAACTAATGTCATTTTATCTACGTCAAAAGAGGAGCTTTTCATATCATAACCGTCGATATTACATTCTCCGGCTAAACTCTGTGGTTCCTCCAACATGAAGATTCACGCACCTATACACTGAACCATCGAAGCCCCATAAAAGCACAGTCTCTCTCCTGCGAACAGGACCATTACATGAAGATTTCTTTCTTTCGTGGGATAAATTTTAAAACCTCTGGGATGGAAAGATATTAATGTTGATACTGGTTATTAACGAACAGTTTTGTTGATTTCCGCTTCTGTCGTGGGTGAGAGAACGCAGGATCGTTGAAATCTCTATAGTTAGCCTGATGACCCATAGGAGGAGCGTTTCTTGATTTTTTCCCATCCATCTAAAACTGAGAGTACTATTATTGTGATAAAAAGAATAGAGAAAGCACTAGATTGATTAATCAAGGCGAGAGTAAGGAACAGAATAGCCTATAATCATAGCGACAATGTGAAAATCAAATAAGGAACAAAACATAACAAAAAGAAAATCGTAGAATTATCAAACCATTACATAAGTTATCAGCTCTGGAAGAGTATTTGTTTGTGAGACGATCAGAATCCCGAAGTTGTATAGTATAGGTTTCAGTTGTTCAAACACAACTCATGGAACAAGGAAACAATTTTCGACTTTTCTTGATCGGAATCGTTGTATCGCTTCCCTTAACCTATTCATTCTTCTGATCTCCAAATCTTTACTAATTCTTTTCCATATGTTCTCAGAATTTCTTGAGTCTTTCCTCTACATTCAGACAAGAGGCCAGAAGCTTAACTTAGAAGTCCGAATAAGTCGATGAGATGATCCTGATCAAACAAAGATTGACGGCTTATACTGTTTAATTCATTTATAAATTATGTTAATCAGGGCTTAACAAACAAATTCAATATGAAGGTAGACTTCACGAGACAGTTGGGGCTACGTTGAATTCAATTGCAAGTACGTAATCTCCCACTATACGTAGTAGAAAATTGTAGTATAATATTCTCATATCACTGCAATTCAAAGGAATCTCTACGTGTTGTATTCAATAGTCATTCAAATAGTTGGGTGGATTGTGGCATTGAGCAAATGAAGCGACCGTGGTTTCTCATGATTTCATCAAACGCTCGTCATTTTTCGGTTTGCCCCTTGCCTCTTTTTACTTCTGTTTCACTTCTAACTCTTTGTTTTTCCCGCGTGTATTTGCTAGATGATTAGAACTTTCCAATCTGTTAGAGAAATGGATATTACAGACCAATGGGGGAGAAAAAGGTAACCAGAAATGTTCCGAAACCTCCGCGTCCTGCACAACAGCAGCAACAACATAAAAGGAGTGGGATGGAGAAAAATAGAATGATCTTGATATGTGCTTTTCTCGCAGTAATTGCTGGAGTTACACAACATTTCTATTTCTCTGACAAGATTCTACCTATGAAATTACCTCCCATTGAAGGAATACCTGTTGATAAGGTTGGATATATAGGCTATCCTCAATTGACAAAACAAGTTTTACAGAAAGCTTGGGGTACTTACCGAGCACATATGTATTTTGGAATGAGATTGAAAGACCGACGTTCACCTTTGTTTGGAATGCTCTGGAATCATCAACCGGATGTCGTGGCTCGCCCAAACATACGACATTGGTGTGAGCACGGTATTCTTAACAACGCAAGACTCGAGCTCAAGTAACTGAGTTAAGATGATGGCATAACTAGTTATGGTTGGGATGCCGCTGATGGTAGAACATTTGGTGTTCAAAACATTACTGACAAAACTACTTCTATCAAAATTGAATGGATTAATCACAAGGACACCTGGACAGCTCGAGTTAAATCAACACCTATTAAAGGTTTCCGACATACTTTCATGTTCTACTTAGCTTCACAACAAAGAGAAGTTGATCATGATGGAAGAGAATAATCTATTGATATATTGCTTAGGATCCATCAACCAAGTTTCATCTTGGTGATGACTTGTCTGAAATTTTCCATGTCACTGGTGCTAGATACGGTGGATCTAAACTGTCTATCAGCTTCCCCCAAAAGAACATTTTGCAAACAAATCTGGTCTGGGATGGAGAGTTCAGTCCAGTGAACATCAAAGATCTGATTTTACAGAATACCGTAAGAAAATTTCCTTCATCTTTACTTAATGCTAGGATAACAGGGAGCAATTGAATCAGATGATGGGAAGCTGATATATCAGTTAAATCCTCAACATAATTTCAAACAAGGAAAGTTTATAGCCGTTCAATTCAACGTTCCTGGGGATGTTACTTTTGAAATCTCCTACAGGTCTGATTAGGTTATTACTAATAATGATGAGTTGCTCTTTGTACAGTACTCGCAATACTCAAGCTCTCTCGGCAACTGCATTCACTAAAGAACTTCAAAAACGTGTGAATAATTTCAATAGAAAATTTGAAGATACCTTCCATCTCGAGAGTAAGGTTGGTGGTTCCATCTCAATCATATTCCGCATCTCATTATGTTTATTAGGGATACACAACAATGCAGTTGAAAATGGCAAAAGTGGCATTATCAAATATGTTAGGCAGTATTGGTTATTGGCATGGAGAAAATAGAGTACATAATTTTTTTTTATTTTTCTCTTAATTCCTCTCTCAGGTAGCTCTCGGGAAAGAAGTGAAGAAGTACGGACCTCACTTGCTCATATCGGCTGTTCCTTCGAGATCCTTTTTCCCAAGAGGTTTCCTTTGGGACGAGGGCTTTCACAATATGCTGATTTCAACTTTCGATCCTGAGTTAACTTTGGAGGTTGTTCAGAGCTGATAATTTTAACGTCATAATCTTCGTTCAGATTCTTACTACATGGCTTAATGTGATGAATGAAGAAGGTTGGATTCCTAGAGAGATGATACTCGGCGAGGAGAGCGAGGCTAAGGTAGTAGTATTTTCATTCTTGTAACTTTTCTTCTTTTTATCTAGGTTCCTCCGGAGTTTATCATTCAAAGAACTGATGTTGCTAATCCACCAAGCATTTTCTTGGTATTCAACGAGCTTGTGTCTAACTCAGCGGTAACTCAGCGTTTTGAAACGTCGTTTCATAAAAACACTTCAGGTTGTTCAAAAACACGGAAAACTTTTGGCTGCTATGTACCCGAAACTTGAACGATGGTTTAATTGGTTGCTCACTTCTCAACGGGGCAAGAAGAAAGGCACTTTTAGGTCTGATTGAGTATGGCTACCCTATAAGAATATACTTTGTAGATGGCGTGGACGTAATGATACTACTGAGCTGGAACTGAACCCAAAAACTTTAGCATCTGGGTTAGATGATATTCCTAGGGCAAGCCACCCTTCTACTGATGTTCGTAAAGAGGTGTAACAGGAGAACATCATGTTTTTAGGAATACCATCTGGATCTGCGTTGCTGGATGGCCATTTGCAGTAAAGTTATGGCAAAATTGTCGTCGTTGTATGCTTCAGCAACAGAAGCTAAAAAGTACAAAGTGCTATCTGAAGAACTCAATGATTATAGCTCTCTCTTGAATCTTCATTGGAGTCAGTCAACCAAGGTTTTTCTCTCCAAAGGTACTCCTTCACTCATTTCCCTTATTTGCTTAAGGAATTTTGTGATTATGGGAACCACAGCAGAAAGGTCAGGCTTGCCAAAGTGATAAGTAAAAAACAGCCAGGAACGTATACTATTAAAAGGCATGACAATTCTTAATTCAGAGCTCAAATTACACTCGTCTTATTTCAGGCATGTAGAAGAAGAGCCGAGATTACGTTTAGTTGAAGATGTTTTTGGTTATAATAGTTTGTTTCCTTTGATGATGAAATTGATTCCCGCAGATTCCCGGGAACTTACATTTGTACTGTCGAAACTTCGAAATACTAAAGTTTTTCTATTGGAGAGAGATGATAGGATATTTGATGTTGTTTTCAGGAACTCTGGACTGATTTCGGCTTGCGATCTTTGTCAGCATCTTCTCCCTATTATTCTGCTCGTAACACTGAGCATGACCCACCATATTGGAGAGGGTAAGTATACATCAAAGACTATATGATAATATTCTCAATTATTTATAGAAACATTTGGATAAATATGAACTATATGGTCATATCAGCTTTAAAACATTACTCGAAAATTGAAGGACCTTCTCAGGAAACAAGTAAAAAACTTTACTCAGAGTTACGCGAAAATATATTCAAAAATATGGCAAAGGTAACGTTCAAGTAATTGCATTCACTAACTGATTTGCAGGAGTTTACACTAAACGGTTATTTCTGGGAGCATTATAATGATCGAACTGGCAAAGGAGGTGGGACTCATCCATTCACTGGATGGAGTTCATTAGTTTTACTGATAATGGGTGATGCATCAGATACTATACTTTGATTTCGTCTTATTCGGGTCAACTGTTGTGATAGAATCGCTTTTATTCAAACGAATTTTTTAATTCGTGTATCAAGTCGAAATGTCGGGTCTTGAACTAAAAGTTTTATTCCTTAATCGGTTGGAAATAAATTATGTGCCTTTTTTGTGTGTAATTTTGTGCATTTGGCTTATCTGGTCATATTGATCCAGTTGATATCTAAATTCTAACTCTTTCTGATCTTTTGTTAATAGAATTATGCTTTCATACTTTTAAATAGCTGTCATCCTTATCTTTTCCTTATTTGTTCTCCTTATTTGGAGGAATAGTCCTTAACGTCATTCTTTATTCTCCTCCACCTTTCTGTCCTCTCCAATTTTCTCTTGCTTAATGAGCAATGACTGGAGTACGTCTGTTAATGGTAAGCGAATACGTTGGAATAAACAATCATCGTTAGTTTTTCCACAACACACCTCAGGTCAAAAACATAATTTATACCTCTGATTAACCGTTTTCCCACGAATTTTGCATCGTTGGGAGGGGAGTGTATTAAAAATTCGATGATAACATTTCCCGCTCTATGGCTTAAAGTTGCACTTGACCATTTTTTTTATCAATTAATTGTCCGTGAATGACCACATTATTTATTGATTTGCTTTATTGAACCGATATCCTTTTTTTAAACTTGTGCTGCTTTTAGTATCCCCCCTTAATCGCTCCCGGAAAAATGTCTTCATATGGAGCCATTGGCCTGGAGGGCACAGAGTGAGTTGATCGAGTTTGTTATTGTGCATCATGTTTTTTTTAGCGTTGACCCATTGCTAGAAGCTGAAGCTTCTATTAGAAGGTCTACTTCAGCTGCTGATATACCTGTTTCGAACAGACTCAGCCAACCGAGACATAGTCTCCAGCGACAGCCTTATCTATTCACAGGTTTTTAAAATGTCACTCCACTCGAGATTTTACCATGTTCAGGAGGTATAGCATTATCCCCAGAAGGTAGTCAGTTATCCTTAAACTCCGGGGAAGATTTTCACAGGCAACACAATAATGCCGTTCGGTACAGACTCTACAATAGGCTTGATCAGGGACAAGGACACCTTGTTTGCCAAATTTTATTTTTTATCTTAAAACTGCTGATTTGCAGCGCATGCCTGATCATGTAACGCCTCCAGAGTATTTCTCGATTTTACCTTTCGATGAGTTGAGGGACCGGTCTGGCAAACAAAGTAGTTTAGTTACAATGTAAGGGAGAACTGAGTTATGTTCTGAGCTTTCCATTTGCAGCTTCTCCTTATGGAATACAATTATGGGTACTTCTTTATTAACTATGCCTTGGGCATTACAACAGGTTGGGGTTAACCGACTTTTTAGTTTCCATGTTTCCGTCATAGGCTGGTCTTGCACTCGGAATTATCATTTACTTAGCTATGTGTGCTGTTTGTCTCTATACTGCTTATCGTGTTTTACAAAGTGCCGACGGGATACGTAAGACATGGCTTTCAATATCTTTGCAGTTATTCCTTCTTTAGCAAATCTTCAAGTCGACCCTTCGGTCGCCGAATTCAGTGATGTTTGTGAATATTTTTTCGGAAAAATTGGAATGTCCATATCTGTTGTTTCTTCCGTAGTTGTTTTTCTCGGAGGAATCATTGTTTATTGGGTTCTGATGTCAAACTTTTTATATTTTACTGGAACTGTTGTTTATGGTTTGTCCTAGCATTTCTTTTAAAATCATTTCTTTGTTTTCAGATGCTTTACAGCCCAACAGCTCAACTATTCCAATTATGGAGAATAAGACATTCACTTGCGATAGTTTGTTGAAACTTGTTTCTCTTTATTTTTCATCAAATTTCAGTTTATTGTCCCGATGAAGTTCAATATTCTTCTTTATATACCCCGTATGTTCCACAGTTTTCATATGGCAATGCTAGCTCTGAATCCACTTTTGACAAATTCTGGCAGCTGCAGGTATTACTAATACTTTCTAAATATGGGTTATCTATGTTTTCCAGAATACTGTTCCATTTTATTTGGCCATAGTTGCCTTTCCTCTTTTTAACTTCAAGTCTCCAACTTTCTTCACAAAATTTAATGTGCTTGGCACTATCTCTGTTGTCTACCTGTTGGTATTCACAGGCTCAAAATTTGTAGAATGTGGATTCAATATGGATTTTGTCAATCCCAATTCTATTCACTACGTGAAATGTTTCTTGATTCATAATACATTAGTCTTATCAAGGTTTTTTCAGTATTCAATTGGAAGTTCCCTGCCTTGACAGGAACTCTAACCTTATCTTATTTTATTCACAATGCCGTGAGAACAATCCTTAGGAATCAACGGAATCCAGAGAATAATGTGAGGCTCCGTTTTACTTTGTATTTTATTTTTTTTGATAGGCTCGAGATTTGTCTATTGCTTATTGCCTGGCAGCCGGATGCTATGTTTACATCGCTGTAGCGTTTTTCGCTGGATTCCCTGTTCAAAGGAGCTGTATAAGTGATGTGAGTTTTGGATTCACATTTCCCTGTTATCTGGACATTCTAGAACATGTTGAATAACTTTGGAACAGGAGACATACTGAGCAGTATGGCTCGTCTGTTTCTTCTCTTCCAAATGTTGACCGTTTTACCTTTGTTAATGTATTTGACGCGAACACAAATATTCTATGCCATCTGTGGTGATGGTTATCCTGGGTAAGAACTTCCAGCTTACTCTTCCTCACTAGATTACCCGATTTGCAGATTATTTTGGGTCATTTTGATGAACCTAGGAATTATGTCTATAGCTATCTTCTTCGCTGTATTCTATCCGAAAGTTGGAAGTATTATCAGGTATACTGTTCAGTGCATATTGGGGTAAGTAAAGACGTTCAGATATGTTGGAGCGATATGTGGGATGGTTTACGTGTTCACGTTACCTACAATCGTTCATTTGAAAAAGTTACAAATGCGAGATGAGCTGACGAACACCAAAAAAATGCTCCATTTCCTCATCATCGGGTTTGGAGTAGCCAATATGATTGCTCAATTCATTATGTAATACGAATGTTTGCTCCTCCTACCTAGGTTTTACCGTTTTCAAATTGTTTGTTTTAATAATATTAACAACTGTGTTTTTGTTATCTTTTCATGCTATTATCCTTTATACCTATATCTTTTGCTCAGTTGACAATTATGGGTACTAGGTACCATGCTAAAACGTGTTTTCTTTGTGATTATCCTCGGCCAGTGCCTTTCAGAAATATTCAAATGTTTTATCTGTATACTATTAGTCTTATAAATGTTCAATTTTTGTATTAATTTCTCATTCCACGCTTTGCAGTTTAGCAAACATATCTTTCAAGCTGTAACTAACTGTCTTAAAAGTTTGTCTTGAGAATGCAACTAACTCGTTCGCTTCGTAATGTTGGCGCTCGTTATGTTGAGAAAGTCCGATTACTCGACTACTGGAAGGTTAATGATGAGGTGCTTGCTCGGTAAATTCCAAACATACCTACCTCGCTTTCTATACTAGTTTTAGAGAGTTTCCACGGTCGCGATTTGTCCTTATGGTTGATAAACGGCCCTTGATATACAGAAATAGACCTTCTCCAGAGCTAGCGGTTTTTGACTATCCGGGTTAAATTGCTTGTGCCAGTTAACTCTTCATTTTCCTTCTGTTTTCAGACTTACGAAAACGATTAGGAGACTATGGTGTCACTTTCGATTTAAGACATTCATGTCTTTTGGATGCTGTCCCAACCAATGACGATATGTTTGTGAGTGAACAATTGAAAGTTCAGTTCAGATAAATTATTCCTAACAGACTCCCTTATTTGGTGTAGCAGTAACTACAGAGGACCCACCTGAAGATTCTCCTATTCAGAAAAACGATGTAATTAGAGAACTGGGGAATTGCCTCGAGGGAAAGTTTATTGAAATGAGAATAGCAATGCTCACAATGAATTGTGAACGTCAAAGATGTCTTCTAGCTACGGTAGGAATAATGCGTTTTGAACAAGCTCGCGTTTATTCAGTTCCAATCACTCTCTCGATGGTCCAGGATTTATCTACGTTGTCCCAAATGTGCCGCTGCTCTCAAGATGAGAGTAAGTAAAAGTGGGGCAGCTTGTAATAGCTGTAAACGAGTATACTATCCTACGGTATATTTCACGAACGAGGGTTTGCAACGACATAATTGTTCAAGTTTTCTCCTGTTGCTATCACCCTTATTCGAGACCCAACTGATCAGCATTGTCTGTTAGTGAGACACAAAGGATCGGCCAATGGAATATTCACTTGTGTCGCTGGATTTGCCTCGGTAAAGTATCTTTTTAATGAAAATGCATTGATTGGTTCAAGACTGGCGAAACAATGAATGATTGTGCTAGGCGTGAAATTGCGGAAGAAGTTGGAATTGATGTAATCAGCATAACTTCTCTTGGAATGTCCCAGCCATGGCCCATGCCAGACAGTTCCTTGATGCTTGCATTCGAAGCTGTCGCAAATATGAGTGATCCAGTATGTTTTTCAGACTTAGGGCTTTTCAAGATCTTTCTGCAGATTGATACAAGCCCCGATGAACTCGAGACTGCCCAATGGTTTACTCGTGAACAAGTCAGAGAAGCGCTGACTCGGACTATTGAGGATCCAACACTTAAGGTACTCTAAATGATTGATAGATTAAAAACGAATGAGATTTATAGGGATTACCTAAAAGCATCGAGGAGAGACAAGTTTTTCGTTATATCCCACCTCTAGGTGCCATAGCTCATCAAATAATTCGCAACTGGGTAGAAAGAGTATAATACATGTAATTATTTTGAAAATTTCTGTGAAAAACTATGTACACACAATCACTGGGGAGAAAAAAAATGCTCAACAACTACGAATTAAAAGATCTGTTCTATCGTTTTCAATGGGTCCAAAGGCAGTTTCCAAAACTCTTTCTTCATTGCGAAATCTGAATTTTCTAATATTTTATACAATAAAGTGATATTAACTGCTGTAACAGGATTGGAATTGTGCAATAATCCTCAAAACATGTACATTCGAAAAAATATAACTGAAATTCCCCCAGTTTCTTTTTTTTTATTTTCATTTCTCACATCTCTGGTAGACCTGTACTGCTCTGTGATGCAGGAAAATTGAGGTTCTAGACCTGTCCCGTTTTGGGTTACGTTGTTGCATGAAGATTCAAAGCGTATTTTGCCATCTCTCTTTCCCTGAAGAACAGACTCTCTATCACGACCACTAAACATACTAGTTCTATAGAGCAGGAATAACCTGTACAATCTTTCAGACTTTTTTCAATCTGCCATAATCCAATGTCGTATACTGCGGTAAACCTAAAAATTTCCACTAATTCAAGTATGCTAAGCTGAACACGCCTGGTACATCGGACGGAGTACGAAAAATGAACGAAGGAACACAAAAAACCAACCACTCGCATTATTGCTAATATTCAAATGAATGAACGACGTATAAGCCGTGAATGAAGTCACAATGACCCCCGTCAAGTGAAACTTGAAAGAGGAAGTTAATGCAACGTGAGGTCTCATCATCTATCATGTGTAAGCTGGATACGAAGCTTTTTGATTAGTTTGATCATTTTTTAGAAATTATACTGTGTCGTAGTCATAACACATATGGATGTTTTGGTGAAGAAAAACAGATAGTTGATCAGATAGTGAATTGATTTCTGTGGGATCCAAATAGAATATTCATATTATTTTTAAAATGGTACTTCATAGCTTTCACAGCCAGCTTGGTTTGTAATCCGCCACATATTGCTCATCTTGCAGTTGAGAGAAGAGAATGTTCACGCGTTTTTTGAAATTGAAATAACTCAACCTTCAATTGTAAGTCTCTTTCATTCTGTTGTTACTACAGTTGTTGTTATTAAGCCTTATTGAGAGAATATAAATGAGGGAACAGAGAATTTGGAACAATAATGATCAAACCTTTTGCTTTGCTTTTATCCTTCTATTTGTCCACTGTTATTCCTCATTATTCTCAGTATATTGACCAAATACAAGCTCAGTTTTCAATTATCATGCGATCACGATTTTTATACAGTTCGTATTTTAGTTAAAAAGGAAATTCCCCCTTATTCCGAGAAGACACATGGACGCTTCCACTTATGGGTTCACGGACTCTACAGCAATGCAGGTCGTTGCACTTTCACATTATTCTCTTAAACTTCTGTTTGTTTCAGATAACGGGTTGCGAACTCAAAGAAATCAACAACAATGTAAGTGTCACCGTTTTTTCCTTTCATTTTGATATTCTACTGATAGATACCATATGGAGCGTTTCCTTCAGCAGACGGTCTCCATAGATCTTCTTCCTTTTCTATCATTTCAAACGAGACGACTTCTCTAAAAATTAATTTCACAAGTGCGGTTGAAGAATTTCGACAAAACAGATCTTTGAGGTGTGGATAAAGCTGCTAAGTGAACTCTATATATTTCAAATCAGTTTTGTGTACACTCGAGACGACCCTGTGAAAGTTGAGGAGCGCAGAAAATGGCTAGGAACGTTGCTGGCAGAGATATACGACGATCCTTGTTCGGATAGGTATACTCAACAATCTTTTGATTACGTTTATCAAACTTCTTTAGGGATTTATCAGACAGCTTAACCGATACATCTACTCTTTCTGATCAAAGTCCGACCCGACGTAAACTAACAAAAGAACTTTTGAGTCGAATGAGTTAGCAAAATGATATCATATTTCACGATCCACATCAAGTTTTAAGACATGAGAATGTTAAAAGAAGAGAAGGATTCTCTGGAAACAGAATTGGAGCTATGTAATCAACGCTTGCTGAGGGTGGTCCGTCAAAAAGCACATCAGAAATCAAAAATGACTACTCGCTGTGCAGTGGTTACCGCCATATTACAAGCTTTATCTACGAAGAGCAGTATGTTTTCAATACTTTCGTTAGACATCAAAGAAGGCAGGGATGGCGAAAACAACCAAAGTTCAATTCGAATGACAAGCCTTTTTTTCAGAGAGAGAGAGAGAGAGAGAGAGAGAGAGAGAGAGAGAGAGAGAGAGAGATAGAGAGAGAGAAAGAGAGAGAGAGCGCGCTCA